GTAGGCTATGAGTGGTAGTGTAAAGTGGGGGCAAGAACCTTAGGGTTTGAAGGGTTTGGAAGAGAGAGATAGGGAGAGAGTTGAGAATTTTAGAGAGAGAGGAAAATGTTTTTTTTCTTTCCCATTGTATCTCTCCTTTTTTCTCCTCCTCTTGTCTCTTTTTCTTAGAGAGCTTGATTGATATAGATATATCAATCTGCAGCCCCCTTCAGAACTCCCACGTCCAGGCATAGGCTAGGGTATGGCCTGGAATGACAGCTGCCAGCTGTCTATAGAAATATCTGTTGAAAATCACACTTGGCCGGCCGGCCATCATATTTGGCCGATTAAAAATCAAGGTGGCCGGTGGGCAGGAGACTGGGTCGACAGGCTCCCTCATTTCCTCAGGAACACATCCACAAGCTCTTGGTGCAAAACCAGATACAAAGCAGTTGAGCCGAGAAATTCTGAGGCAAGGCACACAGCCGAGGCTTCCGGGAACTCAAGACGAACACAAACAAGGAGGATCACCGGGTGTTCAAACGGTTACGTCCAAGTCTTGAGGACGGTCAAAAATGGGGTGTCTACAGATGGGCTTTGAGTACAAGACCCTTGCAAGCCCAAATGAGAAGAGGAATATCCTAGGTGGGTTAGCTGAAAAAACCAAGGATAAAAATAAAGAAGAAACCAGACTAGAAAAGGAGATTCAGAATCCCCAAACATGCCATCAGAACTCAGACAATACTGGTGTGGTTCATACACCAATGCCAACCTCATCCACAAACACAACTACCTCCACACTCATCACCACATAAAGTATATCTCTGCTACAAGCAAACCTTAATACCAACTAGAGAGCCTCTAGACAAAGATGGAAGACGAAGGCGAGAACTATCCAATGGAGTATCACGTAGTGAATCAGAATAGAGTCACAGTGTATCTCACTCCAGAGAAAGAAGTATTTCACCGCATCGCCTTAGAAGGGTGGATCGAGGAAGTAAAATTGAAGATTCAACCATGGAGACAGATCGAAGTGGAACAGGAAAAGCATATGATATTCGTAGTGGCAACACAATTGATGAAGGACAACCTAAAGACAGCAAAAGGGTATCTGGGGATTGCTAACCAGAACCCATTACCTAATTGCATCAATACTTACATGGATTGCTTATCCAGAATTATAGGGGTGCTAGAAACAAGAAATTTAAAAGAAATTTGCTTGAGTTAGTACAGATCCATAAACCAGATTTGATGGTTCTTATGAAAACTAAAGTGGAACTAGCTTGAATAGGTATGTTCTTCAACCAAATGAGATTCACGACCTCAGCCCATGTTGATCCTATTAGTTGAAGTAGAGGTATCTGGATGCTCTAGAACCCAAACTCTATAAATGTTAGAGTAACTGAAGCAAGCTCACAACGTATAACAACTAAGATTGCAAAACAAAAGTACCCTGAGTGGCTTTTTTTGACTGTATATGCTAGCCTTGTGCGCAGCAAGAGGGAGGAGCTGTGGGAAAGTTTGGAGAACATTGCTCAGAACATCTCCGATGATAGCTGGTGATTTTAATGACTTTGCTAGCCAAGAGGAAAAAAGAAGCTTCGCAAGTAACCCCTAAAGTAGCCAAGATTAGAGGGGGACCAAAACTTTTGCTGATAGAATGAATCGATGCAACATTATGGATCTGGGATGTTCTGGACTGCGGTTGACCTAGGCAAACAACATAAAATGATAGGCCAATACAATGGTAAGGCTAGACAAAGCTATGTGTAACAGCGAATGGAGAACTAGCTTTCCCGAGGAACCGGCTAGAAATCTTCCACGAACCTACTCTGATCATTTCCCAATGATGATCTTTACCCAAGGTAAGTCCCCTCATAATCCTTCTTGTAAGCTTTTCAAGTTTGAGGCTGCTTGGATCTCTCATGAAAAGTTCGAAACTGTGGTGTAGGATAATTGGTTGAATAACCAAGAGTCTTTATTGACTAAATTAGATAATCTAGCTCACACGGCTAGTCATTGGAATAAAGAGGTTTTTGGCAACATATTTCGGAGGAAAAGATGGTTGTTTGGGAGAATTGATGGCATTCAGAAATCCCAAGCAAACATCTATTCCTATGACCTCCATGTATTGGCGATGGATCTTATTGATCAATATAATAAAGTCCTCTACCAATAGGAACTTCTCTGGTTCCAGAAATCGAGATCTAAGTGGATTACCCAAGGTGATAGAAACGCCAAATTCTTCTACCTCCTCACCTTGACTAAAAGGAGAAAAATGAAGATTGATGTTTTAAAAAGGCAAGATGGTGTTTGGGCTTGAAAATCTGAAGTTGATGGTGGCTAACTACTTTCCTAATTTGTTCACTCAGATTTCTAACACCACTTTGAATCACTGGAATAATATGGCCACGCACACCATTAGTAATGAAGAGAATAGTGATCTTATGATTGACGTCCCTGATGAGGAAGTTTGGAAGGCTGTGAAGACTATTAAGGCTTTCAAAGCCCCAGGTAGAGATGGCTTCCAGGCCATTTTCTACCACACTTATTGGTAGGTGATTGGTGCTGCTGTATATGCCTTTATTAATTGTTTTATTAACCACACCATACCCTCTGCCATCAATAGAACCCTGGTTGCTCTCATTTCTAAATTGGAAAACCCTGAGACTATTAAACAATTTAGACCCATCAGTTTGTGTAATGTAACTTACAAGATCATAGCCAAAAATTTGGTTAGTAGAATTAGACCCCTTCTTTGCAATCTTGTGAGACCTAACCAAAGCAGCTTTGTTTCTGGTAGATCCACTAATGATAATATGGATTATCTCTCAGGAAATTACTCATACCTTAAATTCTAAAAAAGGGAAAGTTGGAGGAATGATTCTTAAAATATATTTGGAAAATACGTCTGACAACATTTTGTTGGGCCTTATTGGAACAAACTCTTGAGGAATTTGGTTTCGACAATAACCTAATTGAGATGATTATGTATTGTGTGACTACTGTGAGCATAACTATTTTGTGGAATGGGGAGCCTTTAGAGGAATTCAAACTTGAGAAGAGGTTGAGGCAGAGAGATCCCCTATCTCCCTATCTATTTGTTTTGTGCATGAAAAGGCTTTCTAACATGATTAGTGTTAAAGCTACAAAGAAAAAATGGAAAGGCATAAAAGCTTCTAGAGGGGGTCCATACTTAACCCATTTATTTTTTGCAGATGATTTAATGTTATTTGGAAAAGCTGATATGAGAAATTGTACTACAATTATGACCACTTTGGAGGAATTTTGTGAGATTTCTGGGCTTAAAATCAATGCCCAAAAATCTAAGGTGTTTGTGTCCTCCAATATTGATAGAAGGGTGGCTAGAGACTTGAGTGCTAAGTGTGGTATCCCCTTGGCTCCTGAGTTAGTGATGTATTTGGGGGTCCCTCTTATGCATGAGAGAGTCAATAGAGGACATTTCAATCATATCCTTGAGAAAATGCAAAAGAATCTGGTTGGGTGGAAAACTAAGGTGCTCTCCATGGCTGGTAGGACTACTCTTATTTAAGCATGAGTTTTGCCATTCTTGCATACACTATGAAACTAACGCTATCCCTAAGAAAGTGTATGATGAGATTGATAGACTCAATAGAAATTTCTTGTGGGGTGATACCCCAGAAAGAAAGAAAGTTCACCTGGTTAAATGGAAGAAGGTTTGCAAGTCTAAAAATGCTGGTGGGCTTGGAATAAATAATGCCAGAGATCAAAATCTAGCGCTACTTGCTAAACTTGGTTAGAAACTCTTGAATAAAGAGAAAAGTGTGGTGTAATGTTCTTAGAAACAAGTACTTGAAGAACACTCACCTTTATAATTGGCCTAAAGGGAAGAATGCTTCATTTGTGTGGAGAAACATCTTTAAAACCAAGCATATCCTTAGAAAATGGGTGAAGTGTATACAATAGTTATCATCGAAGGATATAATTATAAATTTTAGTGTGTGAATTGAGAAAATTAATCAATAAACAAATTAATAGGTGCGTGGATTGAGAAAAGATGTGCACTGTGGTAATCAAGTGTGTGAAAATAGAATTTCCCCGTTTAAGACCTATATTAACAAGGGGTATGTGTAATTTGTCAAACGTGAAGGAGGAATTTGTATTAAGTATAAATCTCAAGGGTGTAAATATAATTTACTCAAAGTATAAATCGTCTCGTATGGTTCTGAAAATTATAAATATAATACGTTATTGTTAGAATCTTTTATTAGGCAAATTTCACATTAGCTCATATGGTTTGCGCTATGTACGGTTTACTCTCTTAATGTTTGGAAATGAGCATAAAACCTCTACGTGATCTGTGGACTGAAATGTACTGTTAAATATTCCGTCTAATTTAATAACAAATGTAAAATACGTGGCAAATATAATAAGGTTATATGTTTATTTTTAAATTTCAATGAGATAAATCGCACCTGCGATAAAGTACAAAAGGTTAAAGTACATTTTTTTCTTCCAAATAAATGACGAAAATATAGATGCATTTTAGTTTTTTTTCATTAAATTGTTAATGGGTTTAACGGTACACTTCAGTCTATACTTTAGTCCTTAAAGTTTATTTTTTTACTTTAAACCTTCATATTTTTTTCAGTTTACTTCTAAAATTAATTTATATTCAAAATTAGACAGAAAATACTAGATAATTATCACATAACATAAAAAATAAATTATTATATTAGAGTTTGAATTTGTGTTAGAGTGGTGGCATTTTTTATCTAATTTTTAACAAAAAATAATTTTAAAACTAAATTAAAAAAAACTTGAAAATGTCAAAATAAAAAAATACAAATTTTAAAGGTGAAAACAAAAAAGTGAGGGATCAAGTGTAATTTATCAAAAATAAAAACACAAAAAAACAATTTACAAAAACAAAAATATAACCACAAACCACATAAGTATATATGTATACAAAACAAAAATATAACCACAAAAACAAACCACTTAAGTATATATATATACAGTATTTCACTTTTAACAAAATAATATCGTCTCCGCACTCTCTCCCCCCCTCCGTTTCTCTCTCTCTCTCTCTCTACTTCGAAGGAGAGACGAAGAAGCAGAAGAGGACGAAGCAGACATGGTTTCTACGAGACGAAGTGGATCTCTCTCCGGAAACACCAGCAAGAGATCATCTTCTTCCGAAGACAAGCCTCTCTCTCCCAAGCGCCAAAAGGTCTCTCCACCCCAAAAATCGAATCACGCCCTTCTCTTTTATTTTTTATTTTGGCGTTTTGCTAGGTCGTCAAAGTCTGGATTTTTCGATTGAATCGTCGCCTTTTTTGACCCTAGATTTGCTTCAATTTCAGGCTGAAAATGGCGGTTCATCGGAAAAATCGGCTCCCGCTGAGAATTCCAAGGAAATGTGCTCTCCGGCGGCCGTGGATCCACCGGAATGCGGGCCTGTTGATCCTCCGACTGCCGGCGTCGGCGAGGCTGTGAGTCTCGGTAAAGGAGATGCGGCACAAGCGGTTGCTGTAGCTACCCCGATCGCTGATGGTGAGTTGATTACTTGTTGTTTTGCATGTATGTGTATGTATATGTATATATTCAGTGTGATTTGAATTTATAAGACTCAGGTGTTTTGATTTTGGTTTGTTTTCGAGGTTCTTCGCCGGTTGTGGTGGATAAACCAAGGAGTTCTTTCTCTTCATGGAGTACTTATCAGAAGCAGAACCCCAGTTTTGAATCTTCAACCCCGTGGTGTAGGCTTTTGTCGCAGTATGGACAGGTTTAAAGCTTCTCCTTATGAGATTTATTAGTACAAATTTTTATTTATTTATTTTTTTTTTGTGCGATTATAATTGGGTATTGTGTACAGTAGATGAAATCACATTTTTCAATTGTTGTTTTATGTACACATAAACTGACTGTATTATCTGCTGCAGAATTCCAATGTTCCGATTTGTGCATCAAATTTCACAATTGGTGCAAGTAGAAACACCAATCTTGTATTGAAAGACCAAACCATTAGCGCCGTTTTATGTGCAATCAAGCACACACAGGTAGAGGGTTGATTCAATATTCAGTTTGCACACGCACGGATGTTACTTTGGTCTACTTGATTGCCTTTTTTGTGTTGTCGTCGCCGTTGTTTATTTTTGGGTATGACTTTGATAGTGTGTACATGCAGTATATGTACTCATTGTTTGTGGCATTGATCAGCGTGAAGGCACTTCTGTTGCTTTGCTTGAAAGCAAGGGGAGCAAAGGAACTGTGCAAGTAAATGGGAAGACTATTAAGAAGGGTACCAGCTGTGTCCTCAATTCTGGCGACGAGGTGGTTTTTGGTCTGTTGGGGAACCATGCTTACGTATCCCTCTTTCAGTGTGCCCCGTCGTTCAATTTTTAAAATTTGCTTGTGGGATCTCAATAGTCTTTGTACTTTGTCTTATTGAATTGTGTGTTTGTGTGTGCTTGTGTTTGATAATGTGGGAATTTCCTTAATTTTTCTCCATATAGATTTTTCTGCAACTCTTGAATGAGGTTGTTCTCAAGACCCCTTCAACAGTTGGTGGTACAGAGGTTCAGAGTACTGTAGGTAAATTGCTACACGTTGAAAGGAGGGCAGGGGATCCTTCAGCTGTGGCTGGGGCTTCTATTTTGGCATCACTTTCAAGCCTGCGGCAAGATTTATCACGTTTGAAGCCTACTTCTCAAGCCAGTGGTAAAACACATCAGGGGGCTGAGCTACCGCCCCTTCCGGTTGTTCATGACAGTATGGATGTTGACCTTGATGGCCTGGAAGTCAATTCAGCAACAAATACGGGGAGTGATAAAGCTGCTGACATTGGAGCGACCAGCAAGATCCTTGCTCTTGATGGCAACCTGGACTCTAGCATAGAGGCAGGCAATGTAATTTTTTTGCACTGAATGGTTTGCTTAGGCCTTTAATTGTGGATGTTTGCTCTGTCAACTAGTTTTAACATGGAATTAAGCAAAGTAAACAGGTATTTGAAGAAAGAAATGAGTGGACGAGGGATTCACTGCTGGCATCAACATCGGGTATGTCTCTGAGGTGCGCAGCATTTAAAGAAGACATTCATGCGGGGATTCTTGATGGCAAAGACATAGATGTTTCATTTGACGATTTCCCGTATTATTTAAGGTATGAATGTTTCATTTTATGGTATGCTATTGTTATTTTCCATGTATGAATGTTTCATTTTAAGGTATGCTATTGTTCTTTTCTTTTCCTGTTGACTATCCAATATTTGCATTCCATCCACCCTTAGGCCTCGTTTGGGATGTAATCTTTTTAGCCTAAAAACCAAAAAGGTTACTAAAAAAATAAAAAAGCTAACAAGTTATACCAAAAAGTCAAAGATTCCTTTTTCTCTATATTTTTTGCACATATTTTCGTAAAAAATTAAAAAGTCATCCCAAACATACTAATTTTTCCTTTTTCTCTATATTTTTTGCACATATTTTCGTAAAAAATTAAAAAGTCATCCCAAACATACTAATTTTTTTTACATAATATTTTAGCCAAAAAGTCAAAAAGTTACTTAAAAAACAAAAAAACCAATAACCCATACCAAAAAGTCAAATATTCTCTTTTCTCTTTACTCTAAGAAATGCGATTCTGCGCTTCTTAGAAAGAAACATGTAAGAATCATGTTTCTATTGAGAGAGAATCATGAGGAAAAGAAAAACCTGATCTGGACTTGCGATTAGGGCTACGAAAGTAGAGATTGCGTCGTCTTCTTCCATGTATTTGCTTCTCAAGCTTTGATCTTCTTCTTTTTCTTCTTCTTCTTCTTCTCCATTTAATTCTAGTTGTGCCTTAATGCCATATTTATACAAAATGACTTCTTCTTCTTCTTCTCCATTTAATTCTAGTTGTGCCTTAATGCCATATTTATACAAAATGACTTTTGATTTAACCCTTATCTTTTCACAATTAATGAAATCTGCCTTGTTGGTCGTGCATTGCACAAATATATATAAATTCCACCTACCTAATTGTAGAAATTTAATGTATAAAGAGAAATGCTTGTATTATTGATTAATATAATGTTATTGTATTTATTACAAATGGTGAGTGGCTCATTATATAGGAGAGGGTGAGTGTAGTAGGTGAGGAGTAGGTGGTGGTAGGTGATGGTAAATTGGTGGTAGGTGATGGTAAATTTTAACACTAATTTATTATTTTGTGTTGGCCAGCTCAAAAAATGAATGTGCAAAATCAATATTTATTTATGTTTAAAACGAATGTTTATTTGTTATTAATTTTTAAATTTTTTTATGTTGTATTTAATTAATTAAATATTATATAGAAATAAAAAAACTTATTTATAATAGGTATATGTCAATTAAAAATTAAAAAAAATTACATAGATAAATTAAAAATAATATATAAATGCTCCCAACCTATGATGACGCTCCCATTTCCGTTTCATGCAACTAAGATCGATCCCCCCTCCCCCCCAACCCCAAAAAAAAAACAGAAAAAAAGGTTTTAACTAAACACTCCTGGTCTAAATGAAGCTAACCATGTTTTAAGGCGTCTCTTAAACTGCCATACGAGAAGACTTGCTTCAAACAACTCAAAACAAGAACAATGTCAACTAGACCTTATCATGTAGTTGACTTGGTTCTAGCATTTCGAAGACAATCCCAAGGTGTAACCCCTACGATAATCATCCATGCAATGCCAAAGAACTTAGGAAAGACTCAACATACCCGCACCAAATGACATGTCAAAAGCAAAATATAGTTCTACATGTCACCTTTTTCCTTGTACAAAAAAATACTTCAGAACTTATCTCACATTTGTTTAACATCTTCTAAATCTTATTAAACATTTAAAATAAACGTATACATCATCCACACATTTGCAAGCTTCAATGAGAATGGCATCAAATCCAAAGCCAGTCCCATTATTGTCTTTTCAAACTTCTTTTAGTCCCTTGGCCAAGTCCCCAAAATATGAGAGTTATTAAAATATTCTTTAAGAAGCTTCTCTTTCCATTTTATTAACTTTTCCTAGACTTTATGAAATTGACTTTTAAGTAATTTATAACAGTAACTCTAATAGAGACTCTGAACAGTTAAAACAAAAGTTCCTAAAAAATAGTGCAAGTGATATAGTGATGTTTAATTTGGGGGTGGTCGAGGAGAAATTTTGGTGATCAATGAATGTTGTGAGGTGCATGAGATAATTATCTACAGTTTTGGTGGTAGGTTACAAGTTCACTAGACTCCCCGTAAGTGTTGTGTTTGTATGGAAGCACCAGAATCGGTGGATCATGGCCCCATTATTGCCATTGGAAGCTTTCTGGATTTACAGAGTGTGCTGGAATTCTCAAAGGAATGGTTATTTTGGGGATTCTGGCTTGGAATTAAGCCTAGAGGTAGGGGAAGGGGTTAACTTCGACCCCCCTACATCTTGGATGTTGTCTGGGCCAAGAGCCATAGTAAGTTCTATTTTCATTTTTTCCCCTCGTTGTTGATGAAGGCAAGACCCAGCCAGATGATGCCTGCTGGTTGGTAGTAGTGAGAGGGCTCTTAGTACCTGCATACCCAAAAGTGGGTGCTAGTCAAAAAACAATCATTTGATTTTGTTTCTTGCTCTCCATTAGCAGCAGGAAAGGAGTATTGTCTATCTGCCTAGCTTTGCTAGATTTCCCCCAACATAATCGACAAAAAATCCACAGATCCCGATCGATTTTGGCTATGTAGGGAACTTCGAAAGATTTTAAAGCTGAAATTATGTTTGTTCAGGTGATATGAACAGTAAACCTGAGAACAATGTTTTGCCCTGTGAAGAAGAAAAGAGAACAAGAAGAGCTTCCCTTACAAGGGCCAATAAAATTCGCACAAACTCGAACTCATACTCAATTCAACAATATTCAATTTCAACTCTCTCTAATACTATTAAATCACGCACACATGTATATATAATATATATATATATAGGAAAAGTCAATATTGGTGGCCAAATATTTAACTTCGGACACTAAATCATTACAAATCTAACCTAAGCATGACCCGAGGACTTATATTACAATCCATAGATCAAACTGCAACCCATGGACCCAAATACCACATTTTAGAGCATGTTGCATACCACATTCTCATTCCCATTCCTCGTACTAGAACGATCGGAGTTCTAGGTAATATGGGTCTGTGGTTACTTTCTTATTGTGAACACCAATAGTTCTTGATTTCCTATGTCCATTCTTTGACTGCTGAATTGTACATCGATGGTATGTAAGTGTGAACTCCTTTTTTTGTTCTCCTCTTCTTGCAGTGAAAACACAAAAAATGTGTTGATTGCAGCTTCGTATATACACTTGAAACACAAAGAACAAGTTAAATATACCTCTGAGCTTCCTACAGTGAGCCCGCGAATTTTGCTTTCTGGTCCTGCAGGTTTGCGGATATTTTTAGTTATCAATATTCATTTTGGGGATTGTCTTTGTCTACTTGAAGGAATGCTGTGCAAAGTTTAAGTTCCAGTTCCAGTTCTGATATTGTTTTTTTTTTTCCTTTTCTTTTTCTGCGCAGGGTCTGAGATATATCAGGAGATGTTGGCAAAGGCACTTGCTAGATACTTTGGGGCTAAATTGCTTATTTTTGATAGCCATTCTTTTTTGGGTGTAAGATAAAAATCTCTGGAACTGGCTCTGTTACAAGAATATTATCTTTTTATAAATCTTAACATCACTGGCATATGGAGCATCGTTTCTTGTTATAGACTGTTTTGATTGTTCTAATAATTAACTTGTTCGGATATTGATATTGTTATGATTATGCTTATCTGCCCAGAAAATTAAAAATTAATATGCAACGTAATCTATGGTTTTTTTTGTAGGGTTTATCATCGAAGGAAGCAGAGCTCCTGAAAGAGGGATATAATGCAGAAAAATCCTGCAACATCAACAAGCAAAGTGCTGTAGCTACTGATCTTGCTAAGGGCACAAGTCCTTCAGCCACCGAGGCAGCTACACCTAGCTCTTCAAATGTTCCTTCTTCTTGTGGCCCGGAGTCCCAACCAAAAACGGAGAATGACACTGCACCAGCTGCTTCTGGGGCATGTAAGAGTCCTTCATTTAAAGCAGGTATGTCACTTCTGGCTTCATGTCAGGGACACCTTCATAGTTTACTTTTTGATGACCTCTAGTATAATGTTGCTGTTATTTTTATTTTTGGTATCTACTGTTACTGTTATTATTTCTTTAACATTGGATCAGCAATTTTTAATTATCAATTGAACTGTGAAAACTTGTAGGTGACAGAGTGAGATTCATTGGTTCTGCTTCTGGCAGCTTGTATTCAACACCGTGTCCTTCAAGGTATAAATTTACCTGGACCCTGCACCACACACACACGTATATATATACACTAAGGTTTAAATAAGAGTTACTACCACGATAGATTACTGTATATTTGCCTCTCCCCCCTCTTTTGTCTTACAAGTTAAAGCACAAGCTTTTTTAGCTTACAAAGAATTCAATCACCGGCATGTCAATTTAAACCAGAAGCCCTACGCTGATCACTGTGTGGTTAGTCTGTGACTAAAGGTTGCAGTGTTAGTCTGTAAAATAAAAGAAAAGGCCGTTCACATCAATTCTACTCTTCTTCTAGATATAATGTGCTCTTAAACTCTTTTTACTTGTTAGAGCCTATGACCTCTATGAAGGTTGGCTACTTTCCTTTTCTTCTTGTTTATGGCCAGCTTGCTTAAAGAGAGCCTATGCAGTCTTTCTCTGCCCCAAATCCTTTATCTTTTGTTTCTTTTAATTTGTTATAATCCATGATGAGGGTTTAATTTGTTTCTTTTGTACGTCTCTCCTTTCCATTTCTAGTTTTATGTGAAAGTTACCATGGTCTTGCTGTTGTTTATGCCTTATAACTGAAATTTTTAGGGGTCCTACTTTTGGAATTCGAGGGAAGGTTCTATTACCTTTTGAAGATAATCCTTCATCAAAAATTGGTGTAAGATTTGATAAACCCATACATGACGGGGTGGACCTTGGGGGTCTCTGTGATGTAGGTCACGGATTCTTCTGCAATGGTAATGACCTAATGTGCTATTAATTATCAGATGGTCAGGCCCTTGTAAATTTGTTTCGTTTTCTGAATTTCTATCTGTCTCTAGTTAATGATCTTCGTCTAGAAGCTACGGGTGTGGAAGATCTGGACAAGTTACTCATTAACACATTATTTGAGGTATGGTTTATGTGTGATTCAAATAATTGAGTTTGGTGCATGTCAGTTTTATGCTTATCAACCACTCTAGAGCTACTCATGAACTTGGTTTTCTTCAGGCTGTAAGTAGTGAGAGCAGAAATTCGCCTTTCATTTTGTTTATGAAAGATGCCGAGAAGTCTATTGTAGGAAATTCAGAATCATACTCAACATTTAAAAACAGGCTTGAGAAGCTCCCTGATAACACTGTCATTATTGGTTCACAAACTCAGACCGATAACCGTAAGGAAAAGGTAATTATAGTCTGATTTCCATAAGCTACCTGTTATGGGGACATTAGTATGTTCTTTATTTTCTTGACTGTTATGTTTGTTAACACCGAGTTTAGAAAAAAAATGTATATTCATGAGACTGAAGCTTATAAAATGCTGCAAATGACGTTTTGCATTTTTGGTGCTTTTGACTTGGCATAAGTTAATTGGCGTTAAGTCATGAGCTTGTTTTTCTGAATTGGTTTTAAAAGACTATCATAAAAATACATCTTCAAACAAAAGTACTTGTAAAAATAGATATTCAAACAAAAGAAGAAAAGTATAGTTAAAATAAAAAATTAACAACAATGAAGTTTATTTCAATGTGTAGCTGAAAGAAGTGCCCATTAGAATAGCTGCCCAATTTATTTCAATGTGTAGCTCTGAAAAGACACTCAAATATGTTCTTTTAATTCCAAAAAAATTACAGAATAGGACCTAAATGAAGTTTAAGTAAAAGAAACATGGACCTAGGCTTTCAAATTTTTTTTTTTTGAATTATTGTTCTTTGTACTTACTTTTCTGTCATATAAGAGAGGTGTGTCTTGGAGTCATGCAGAGCCTTGGAAATCCAAGCCTGTAGGGTTTAAACCTGAATCATTTTTCTTTTAGTCTTTCCTAGGAGAGATTTGTGGCTTTATTTTCTTTTGATAAGTAAGAGAGATGCATGGCTTAATCCTCACCATTCATTTATTTATTGTTCTAGGCAACAAGATCTTAAAAACCATTTAGTAGCTTACTCATTGCATCCTTCTAAATTAAATTTCATTTTCTTTTCTTGCAGTCACACCCTGGTGGTTTACTTTTCACTAAATTTGGCAGCAATCAAACTGCTCTTCTTGACTTAGCTTTCCCGGTATTGTTTGCTCTTTATGACTTGACTTTCTGTGTATTGTTTGGGAATTGTAATATTTCATGCCTGGTTTTTTGATTTTGTTGGACATCTTCTCCCCCTTGTACTTTTTTTTTGTGTTTTTTCTCTTTATTAATAAATTCCTTGCAGTTGCCGATCCAAAAAGAGAAAGAAAAAGAAAAAAAACGCTTGGTTTATGATTTTGGCCCATTTTGTGTTTGGGCCGTCATTATCTTCTTTTCTCTTTTGTACCTTTTTCCCCCTTTCTTTTTTCATCCTTGTTCATATGGATTCTTATGGATGTTCTTCTAATTAGGAAGTATCATTATTTCTTTTATTCTATTTGTTGCTTGATTCCCATTAGTGATTACTTAATACAACATTGATTTGACTTTGAAAGAAGGTTCGATCTCAAAATATCCTGTATCCTGAAATCAATTTAAGCATTTTAATGATACATTCATCCCGTTTCTTCAATGGTCTTCCTCCTTTTGAGGGTAGAAATAATGATGATAAATAACTTTTCCCAAGTCTGGCTGCTCCTAATGAAATGCCTTATTTGTTTTTTAATTCTCTTCCAATTTTTCTATGTTCCTTATGAGTAACATTTCATTAAAAGATGACATTAAGTGAATGGCACATGTATACAAAAGAGAAGATAACAAAAACACTATGTGGGTGTTTGGGAAGTGGATTTTTATGTAGGTTTTTTTAATTGTAGGATATTATTGGATAAATTTTTTTTTGGTGTTTGGGAAGATAGTTGGGTTTTTTTGTGGTTGGATGTGATGCTTGTGAGAGAAAAAGTGAAATGATTATGGGGTTGGATGCAATATTTTGTTTGGATGTGTTTTTTTTGATTTTGCAAAAAGTTTGTCTTTTAGTGGAAAAAATAAAAAAAAAAATCCCAAACCCAAGTTCCCAAACACCACCTATACACCTCGTGTTTCAAAATGATCTACAAAATCCAAGAATTTGTCGAGTTAACAACTATACAAAAGAACTCTTTTAACCTATACAAAGTAACCTATCATTTAAAAAAGGTGAATTTTCTTTTCTTTAATAGTCGACATGAGGCTTAAGGGAATCAAAAGCCATGGCTTCTTTCGCCTCTGCTACACTCCAATAGAGATATGTGTCCAACATATATAAGACATTCACCTAGCGAGAAAATTTATTAATTCGAGTTTACCATAAAACAATGTATAAAACCCATTATTATGTATGAAATGATCCATGACACCTTGTGATCAACATTTCATTCTAGAAATAAAAGAATTTCCATGTCCTTGGACATGGAAATTAGATGACTTGGACACAGAGACATGTAACATAGGGAAACATGAATTGGACAGAGAGACATGAATTCCTGACACCCATGCCTGAGTCCATGTAACATAGGGAAACATTCTTCTTTCAATCTTGCTTCAGAAGTGGGGAAGAAACTTTTATGAGACTTAGGAAATGTATTATACAATGTTACAAAATGTTATGAAAACCTTGGGAACCTCTTAAAAGCCTTCTAAAAAGACTCATCTTAATTTCCATTTCAGAAACTTGATATTATTGTACTTGATTTTCTCAGGACAGTTTTGGTAGACTGCATGAAAGGGGGAAGGAGGTTCCCAAAGCAACAAAGCTTCTGACGAAACTTTTCCCCAATAAAGTTACCATTCACATGCCTCAGGTGTGTCCTTGCTGTTCTGGAGAAATCTCTTGGCCTTTGCTTTCTACAATATATAATGGTAGATTATAAACCATTGCAGGATGAGGCACTTCTTGTGAGCTGGAAGCATCAATTGGATAGAGATGCTGAGACCCTTAAAATGAAGGGAAATATGAATCATCTGCGCACTGTGAGCAATTGGCACCATTTTCATGCTGTTTTATTGAACAAAAGTAATAATTTGTTTAGAAATGTTGATTGTAGTAATAATTTGTTGCTTTCATCTTGTATAGGTCTTGAGTCGGACTGGGTTGGAATGTGATGGAGTTGAGGCATTGTGCATCAAGGATCAAACGCTTACAAATGAAAGTATGTATTCATTTTTGTTACATAATGACATCCATTGCCCTTTTAACTGAATTATTGCAGGATAAACAATAACTCAGTAAAATTATAATTTGCTATGTACTGCAGGTGCGGAGAAGGTTGTTGGTTGGGCTTTGAGCCACCATTTAATGCAGAACCCTGAAGCTGATTCTGATTCAAGGCTTGTTTTGTCAAGTGAGAGGTAATATAGATCTTGCCATGCACCTTGTTAAAAGCAGTGTAATCTGGAGTAATTGTTAATGGATGGAAAATATGCCTGCAAAACCCTTCTGTTTTGGCCTCTTAGCTGTGGTTAATAGTGATGTATTGCAATTCTAGCAGTATCCAGTATGGGATTGAAATTCTACATGCTCTCCAGAATGAATCCAAGAGCTTGAAGAAGTCACTAAAGGTATTATTGTTTTGTTAATGCCAGATTTATAACTCTAAAAATTTTAGAGCAATGATATTCACACTCTACTTAATGCCACGCAACTCTCACACTCTTCTTTGTCTTTTAGAACATGGGAAGTGTGAGAGGCTAAAAGCAGAGTGAATATTATTGCATATGATATTCACACTCAACTTAATGCTACTCACACTCCGTTTTTTGTCTTTTAGCCAACATGGAGAGTATGAGGCTGAAATTAGAGTGAATATCATTGCCCAAATTTTGTCTATCCATGAATAAAAATAAATGAAATTGTTGTGTGAAGATTCCTCGATTTCTTTTCTTGGAGGTGCTGATCTGTTAATTTTTGTTTTTAATCTCAGGATGTTGTGACTGAAAATGAATTTGAGAAACGGCTGCTAGCTGATGTTATTCCACCTACTGACATTGGAGTCTCGTTTGATGATATTGGAGCTCTTGAAAATGTGAAGGATACATTGAAGGAGTTGGTGATGCTTCCTTTACAGAGGCCTGAGCTTTTCTGCAAGGGTCAATTGACAAAGGTTTTTGCATCTCTACCTTTTCACCCTTGATTGTGATGCATTTGCTGAAGGATAATTTAGGATAGGTTATGACAAATTATGGGGCTCACTTTGCAGATACTTTTGATGGCAATGTTTTTATTGTACTTGTGTTGGTTTATGTGGCTTCTGTTTTATTGAAGTACATATATTCTATTGAAATATCTTTTTTAAACCATTTTCTGGAATCTTTGTTTCATTATCTGAAACTGGTGGATGAGATTATAAATAAAAACAAATAAACTAAGAGTTTGGTGAAATCACCAGCTTTTGCCATCTCAGTCAAGGATTCGTTAATGAAACGTGCTTTGTTGCTTGATCTATTCAATTCTCCCTTTGCCCTTTTGTCTGGTGCAAATGCTTTTGCTGACCATGTTCCTGAAACCGTAAATTTGTGATTCCTCTCTGTATGGTGTGTTTGTGCTCAAGGGACATACTTGTCCTCTTATGTTTGGAGTTAAGACACGTTGCATTTTCTTGCATGAACACAATGCTCCAAAATTTCTCAAATTCATTGTCACAGTATTAAGTTCTTGTTTGGGATGTGCTAAAATAGCACATGCTATTTTAGCATATTATCCTATTTAGGTCACAATCATCCCACATCACTTCAAATCCAACTCATATTTCACATTTTTTCGTAAAAAGTCAAAAAGTATACTAATCTATCACTTCCCAAACAACCCCTAAGTTAAATCTACTATAAAGTCCCTGAATTGATCTTGCACATAATATCCTGACATTTTAGGTATATTGAAACTTTTATTGTACACTTTGATGCTGTCAATAAAAGCATATGAAGTTATTCTGAAACTGCCCTATAGGAATATTTGCGTACTGCTCATGTTTTTTATGTTCATTCTAGAGATGTTTTTATGAGTCACCAAAAGAGTATCTCATTACGATTATTTGATTTGCAGCCTTGCAAGGGTATTCTTTTGTTTGGCCCTCCTGGAACAGGAAAGACGATGCTTGCAAAGGCTGTGGCCACTGAAGCTGGTGCAAACTTCATCAACATTTCTATGTCAAGCATCACATCTAAGGTTAAATTTTGCAAGGAGCTTCTGTAACTATGGTTTTTATTTCTATAATGATTGCACTTCTGTAACTATGGTTTTTTTTATTATTTTATTTTAAATCTTTGCAGTGGTTTGGTGAGGGCGAAAAATATGTGAAAGCCGTCTTCTCACTAGCTAGTAAAATTGCCCCTAGTGTTGTATTTGTTGATGAAGTATGCTGCTTATCACTCTTCTTCTTGCTCTTCAATATTTTGAATTTTGAATTGTCTTATTGTTGAATACTTATATTATCCTCTTTTCTGAAGGTTGATAGCATGTTGGGTAGGAGGGAAAATCCAGGAGAGCACGAGGCAATGCGTAAAATGAAAAATGAATTCATGGTGAACTGGGATGGCTTGCGAACAAAAGATACAGAACGAGTTCTGGTACTTGCAGCCACTAATAGGCCATTTGACCTTGATGAGGCTGTTATCAGAAGGCTGCCGCGTAGGTAAAACAACGCTTCAAAATGGCTCATGCCAACTTATTTATGCCTGGATATGAGGAGTTTTCAATTATAGCTGATGACGGTGCTTGTGTGTTTTGTGCCCATAGATTGATGGTCAATCTGCCAGATGCACCAAATAGAGCGAAGATCTTGAAAGTGATCCTAGCAAAAGAGGACTTGTCCCCTGATATTGATTTTGATTCAATTGCAAGTATAACAGATGGATATTCTGGAAGTGACCTTAAGGTATCCTTTGCTCTTGCTATTTTCTGAAATAAAATTAAGCACTCTTATTATTGTCAGCGTGTCTTGTGTTTCTTCTTCATAAAAGTAAGTTTTTTTTTTTTTTTTTTAAACTTCGCAGAATTTATGTGTGACCGCTGCACATCGCCCAATTAGAGAGATTTTGGAAAAGGAAAAAAAGGTTTGTTTCTTTCGTCTGATGAATGAGCAGTTTGTTAAATTGGAAATAAATGATATTGTCGTTGTTTGTAGTGGCGATAGAAGTTTTACTTCTGTAAAAATCATCGTTACTGCCCACTAGTATGGTTGATGATTGTCCTCAACAATGTGTTTTTCATGTTATTTGTCTGGAAACCTGAAGTTTGTCCTGCAGGGCAGTCTATCATAACCATATTTGTGTCCAGACAAATTAAAGTCCTGGTTAATAATAACTGAGCAGTATCAACCAGGTTATCCGATGTCTAACCCCTACCGGTATAGGTTCTTTGTTGTTACAATCAAACGGTCATTCATTGGTTATGGATTTAGCAAACTGGCAATGTCCAATTTTTGTTGTCACAACATGCCCTTACAAGAACAAACTTTCACCAGCTCTGTAAAAAACATCTGATTTGCTAGCCATCTACACAGTCCTTTCTCCCTAGATTTGTTGGGTTTGTGGAGCCTGATTAGTATCGTAAACTTCACCACACGGTTGCAGTTCCAACTAAGGGTATTATAGTAATTTGTTGATGTAAACCCTGGCATGTATATTGGATAATTCTAGTTGCACACCACACTTTTGTCTTAGTTCAACACCATTTGTGCCGTTTGGATATCAACTTTCGAACAAAAATCAATTGTTTGGATGTTACTTCCGGAAAGAAAAAAAAAAATTGTTCAGATATGAACTACCAAATAGTGTATTTGTTTGGAAGTTGATGTTTGAACAATTGATTTTTGTTCAGAAGCTGATATCCGAATGACAAAATGGTGTGAATTGAGATGTAGTGTGGTGTGCAAATAGAACGATTCCATATATAATTGTTATCTTCACGGAAACAACATTGCCCTCTCTCTTCTTTCAGTGTAGTGGAATTGGTGTGAGCCGTGGATGTATGCAATCTTACTGAACTACATAAATCTATGTGCCGTGTTTTCTTGTTTGTGATTGATTCTTTTTGCTATTGGTTTTGTGTGGCTTATTCTGCAACAAGATTATATTCCCTAAAAAATTTAAAATTCATACATGGATCTCTCTTTACTTTGTTTCATGCTGTGATCTAATATGCATACTAAACTAATGACAGGAGCGAACTGCAGCACTAGCAGAAGGTAAACCAGCTCCGGCCTTGAGCGTGAGTTCTGATATCCGGCCTTTAAACATGGATGACTTCAAAAATGCTCATGAACGGGTAAAGATGAAACACCAGAAAAGAATTATAGATCATTCATAATTTATTCGATCATCTTATGCTCAAATGTTGTTTTTATTTTTTGTTCTTTTCTCGAACTCACTTTCGGCCCATATCGTAACTAGGTTTGTGCAAGTGTTTCATCCGAGTCTGTAAACATGACCGAGCTCCTACAATGGAATGAACTCTATGGCGAAGGGGGTTCTAGAAGGAAGAAAGCTCTCAGCTACTTCATGTGAAAGCTCGTCAACTGTACAAAATGGTTCTTCTTTCTCTTTCCTCAAGTTCTGTACTTTCTCTCTCCTTTGCTGCGCCCTCTCTCTGAGGGCTGCCGTGAGAAAACTGTGGTCTGTAAAATGAAGTGTAGGCTTTTTTTAAGTTATGGTTAGTAATCCTTCGGCTAGTTTTCGGGATGGTTGGTACGAAAAGTGGTGTGGCCTTGCTAGTTTTGGCATGGCTTTCGCCACTTTTGTTTTGTTCTCTCCCACCTCCTCCTTTGCTGTCATTGTGAAGAGGACTGCGTTATTTTATTTGATTTTTTAAGTTATAATCTAAGAAAGTTGAGGGAACCGAAAAAAAAAAATAAAAAAAAAAATTCAGACCCTGTGCATATTTATATATATATAAATATTTATAGTAAATTATTATTATTTTTTAAAATTTTTTTATGGTGATTTGTTAGGATCAAACGATATGCAATGCTGCACGGTTATAATTTGTGGTTTCTGTATTTTTGAATGTCTGATTTATGTGTATATGTATGTATGTGCTCTCAAATGTTTATCTGATATCTGTTCTTTTCATTTTTATTTTTATACATAGATCAATCATGTAATTGGACAACCATAGGAGTTTTTAATGATCATTGTGTGAACAAAACACAGAATTTGATTGATCTAAATTGCGAGTCACCATGAGTCTCACATACGAAATGTGTATTTGATCATGCCTAAAATTATAAATTTCATTATTTTAAACTAATTAAAATTTGTAGTTTCTTCACATGTTTTGATGGTGTGCGAATAAAATCAGCTTGCGTTTCATCCCTATTTGTGTCACATTCTTTGCGAGGGAATTAGTAATTTTTTGTGTCCTATTTATTTGATTTTAACATTATGGTAGAAGACGCCCAAAAATGATAAAACTTCCTTGGGACTGGTTACATCATGACCAAATGCAGCCAGTAGCTTTTAGATCTTCAAAGCTACAAGCAGAATTTTCCCCCCAATTTTATCAAATTCAAAATAAATGTCCGACAGCAAGTTGATTGGATTATAGATGTCACATGGTATATGCTTTGTCAAACTTTTATGGTTTGTCGTGGACAATCCCTATGAGAAGTCAGGTTAACATCAACTTGATTTTTTGGCCAATTTACTTTTACCTAATTTCCATGGACTTTTTTGAAGTTTAGCCAAATTGTAAGAATTTGCTTGAGATTTATCAAAATCTCAGGGACTCACCTTGAAATTTTTGATAATCACCCTTTTGAAAACTGTGAGTCGTGTCATATTAAGGGGCTGTTTGGGAAGTGGGATTTTAGCTCAATTTAAGTTAAAATTTATAAAAAGATAAAATAGGTTAAAATAGTTAAAAAAATAAAATGTCATATCAAATTTATAATCATTTATTTTTTTTTTTTCACAGACATCACGTTTAATTACAAAAAAAATTTAATTTTTTTAAATACAAAAATTTTAACTTATTAAAATATTTAAAAATTAAAATAACTTACTAAAATAACAATTTCTCAAATACCCACTAAATCAAGTCACCTCACCACCTGAAAACCGTCACCTTCCCCACAAGCAACCCAAACTCTAAACCGTCGCCTAGTAAAGTGTCTGCTTTTACTTTGTTGTTTTTCTTCGCTTCTTGTTATTTGTCAGGATCTCCTTATTTATAGGGCAAAAAGCAGTGATGGAGACCTCCTCCAATTATTACTTTTACACACATGTGTGGATTGGTGAGATAAAAAAAAAAAAATTGGCCAATCACAGTCAAAGGGAAAACTTGATAAAAAGTTAATTTTTTTAGTCTGTTTTGTGTTTTATAAGTAAAAAATGTAAGAGATGATATATCTCAAAATAAGTAAAAAACTAAAAGTTGACTTTTATTTTGTTTCCAAAAGACATTTATTATCTATTAAGGCTATTTTTCAAAGCCCATCTTACAAATTAATGTGGTTATTCCCAATATAATAAATGTTTTTTTTATTATTATTTTATCAAATTAATTTTTTATTTAAAAAAATTCAAAAAAACTCAATCAAATCAAAAAAATTAAAAAAAGGAAATTGGAGCAGATTGTCTCCAATCACGACCCTACACAGTTCATACAATACAATTGTGATTAGAGCTCTACAAAATATCATTTAATCTACTAAACGTACTTAATCTGCATCCATCAAGTGTTTGAAATTAATGACCTGTTTTTAAAACCATCCTGCTATGTTATTAGTTAATACATGGATTTTTTTTTTTTATTTTCAACTTCTAATAAGATAAAAAAAGTAAAGATCAGTGAGGAAAATTTAACATTTACAATTTGTTGCAAATTAATATTATATATGAAAATTATTATGTAAAATTAATTAGTATTATATATACAAAATATTATGCAAATTATATATTAGTTAATATTATTTATCAAGTCGTTCTTCACAATTTAGTAGTTGTTTGAATCACAGAACTATTTTGGAAAGATGGTTAAAAATAATTTTTTTGGTTAAAAGTTGATTAAAAGTTACTTTTTGTGAGAGAGGGAAGTTAATTAGAATATGAGAAGCGAATTATAACTCACTTCTCAAAAAAAGCCACAATCATCTTATTTAGGTCGCATTATTTCTAATTTGAGTGATATCACCTCTCTACCACATCACTTCAAACCCAACCCATATTTCACATTTTTTTTATTAATAAAAAGTCAAAAAGTATGCTAATTTAGCACTTTCCAAACAATCTCATAATTTATGAATAATGTTATATTCATTAAATTTGGCTTTACTTGAATAGTTTAAATTTGAGCATGTCGGTCTTCTAACTGATCATTTGAGAGATCGTCTGATTGATCATCTGGGAGAACATCGATCATTCGACAAATGTCGATTGACACGAGTAACAACTGTAATTGATAAGCATGGCGTCAATCATCCAAACAGTTATCCAAGTTACATAATTCAAGCAAAATTCAAACCAATGCAATTGATGTATCACTCAAAATTTTTTTTGATAGTGTTTGGTAGAGTTTTATAATTATGATTTGAGAATAGAGTTGTATTTTTAATTTTGTAAGTTTTGAAATTATGATTTGAGTGAGGAAAAATTGTTTGGTTATAAGTTTTGAAAATAATTTTGAATTGAGTTTGAAATTTTTGATGTGATATTTGACTCAAAGACTTACAACTCATAACCAAACACATAACTCAAAATTTTATTCAAAATTCATAATTTTTCTTAAAAAAAATTCTAAAAATATTTTTTATTTAAAATATAAAAAAAACAGGTATTAAAAAAAAAAACATAAACAAACAAACATTATTCTAGCCAACATTCTGGGGATATCTAAAAAGATGACTGGATAGACATATTTTAAAAAATAGATGTGAAGCCAATTTTTTTAAATTTTAACCAAACACGACACTCAAATCAAAATATGAAATTACGTTTTTAAAACTCTAATAAACACAGTTTTTTTAATTTACAATTTATAATTTATAATGTTAACTTTAATTCGCACCCAAGCACACAAGGCACACCCTATCGTGACAAGCCCCATCAAAGTCGTCTGCGTCTTTCTTCTTCATCCTCACACTCACTCTCTTCCATCTCCAATGTGCACTCCATTTCCAATTCCCTAACGAAACCTGAAACCCTCCTCATTACTTTCACAAAATCAATGGCGGATCTACAATCTCCACCTCCTCCTCGGTCCCCCACCGACCTCTTCGGCGACCCCATCGACTCCCACCCTCTCTGGTTCAACCAATCCTCCTTCCTCCTCCCCACCTTCGACTCCGAATCCTACATCTCCGATCTCCGTACCTTCGTCCCCTTCGAAACCCTCCGATTCGAGCTCCAATCCCACCTCTCCTCCCTCAAGCACGAGCTCCTCGACCTCATCAATCGCGATTATGCCGATTTCGTCAATCTCAGCACCAAGCTCGTCGATGTTGATGCTGCTGTCGTCAGAATGCGGGCTCCGTTGTCTGAGATCCGGGAGAAGATTGTCGTGTTTCGGGCTGCTGTTGAGGGATCGCTTTTGGCGCTGCAGAGTGGGTTGAGGCAGCGCGCGGAGGCGGCAGCGGCCAGGGAGGTTTTGGAGTTGTTGCTTGATACGTTTCATGTTGTGTCTAAGGTATCGATGTGGATTTGATTTGAATACTGTGTGTGTGTGTGTGTGTGTGTGTGTGTTTTTTTGTTATGGTGTTTGTTTGATGAGAAAATGTGGGAAAATGGAATGTCTAGTGGAATTGTAAATTAGTGGCAAAAAGTTAAAAGTAATTGTGAAAATATAGGTGCAAAAAGGTTAGATTTTTAGATCTCGGATTATTTTGTAATTGGAATTTGAGAAAACGGGAATGTCTACTCAGATTCATTTCATGGATGCGGATTTGGTTTCTGTTTTGGTGTGTTTGGTTGGTGAGATAATGTGGGAAAATTGAAGGAGTTTAATAGGGGAACTGCAAATTAATGGAAAGAAGATAAAAGTAATTGCGAAAGTATGGAGTGCAAATTCAGTTGCACTAAGCACAGATCCACTTACCATCATGTGTTTGTAGTTATTTTTTATTTTTGCAATTCTCTATATTTTTAGATCTTGGATTGTTTCGCAATTGAGATTTGAGAAAACGGGAATGTCTACTCCGATTCATTCAATTCATGGACTGTTTTCTCACTGAAGCAAGAGCTTAGGTTGTTCTTGTAATTGTCGTTTTGAGAAATTTGGAATCTTTAGTTTTACTTTCACTTTGTTGTCTGTTTGGTTTTTGAGAAAATGTAAGAGCGAAACTTCAGAAATTATGATGAATTAGACTTTTATTAATACATAATTGACTTAATTTTTGCATTTAAAACCAAGTTTGGCAACCCAAAAATATTCCATCTTTTTATTTTTTTATTTTTTTTTCCATCATATCACATCTCTACTTTTCTGCACATTTTTTCGTAAAAAGATAAAAAGTACACTTATTTAGGTCATCCCAAACAACCCCTAAGTTGAAGTTTTGGATACAACCTGAAACATTCTGGTGATTTTAGTGCTTTTGCTCGGAGAACTAACCAAAGTTGAATTTGGGTACATAGGATTTCTATAGTTATGGCCTCAAAAATGGGTAATGTTAGCTCAAGTTTGGAAATCCTTCCATTTTATTATTCTCCGCAGTTAAATAGTTGCCTTTATGATCTTGTATCATTTTAACAAGTAAAAGTAGAGTTCTATTTTGGAAACCTTTGTATGTTCATATTAAGAGATTTCTTGTTTTAGTTTTGGTTTTCATTGTGTTTGATTGTTCAAAGGTCCAAGAAGATAATTCTAAACTTACAATCAATTTAACAAATCCTTGTTCCCAATGTTTGTATATTAAGTTAAACCATATGCTGAAATTTCTTTCCTTGCTATCCTAACCACATTGATTCTGGTCCCTTGGCATTGCTTTCACTGTGGACAAATGAAATTCTTAATCTTACTATGGTTTTCGTTTATGATAGTTGAGAAACTCAATACAACAAAGCCAATTAATTGTGATAGGCTAAGTTGAGTTAAGGTTTTAGTTACTAGTTTCCTAATTACAAATGAGATATCTGATATTTGTAATTCAAGTTTTCTTCTTTTAATTTTTATTTCTTTTTGGTTCAACCTACAGTTTCTTAAAAATCAGAAGAGCCTTCTCTCTCTATTTTTTTTTTCCTTCTAAAAGTTAAAAAAAATTTATTAGAAGGAGCCAAAGGGGGTGCAACCCTGTATAAATTGGATACTTTAAAAGAAAACATGCTTTCATTTGCATTTGCAACCTTTAGGCTTTGTTCCAGCAACTGTGGGATTCTGTTGGTTTATTGCAATGAGTTATGGTCACTTTTTAATATCTTCATTTGATTTTTTGAAATGCAGGTTGAGAAATTGATAAAGGAGCTGCCTAGTATGCTCGCTGATTTGTCCAATGGAGATCTAAATTCTGCAGAAAAGGATCATTTAAGCAATGGAATCTCTTTTCAACACACTGAAAATGGAACAAATCCCAGGGAGGCTCAAAGCATGCTTTTGGAGAGAATCGCCAGTGAAATGAATCGGCTAAAGTTCTACATCACTCATGCAGAGGTCTATCTTGCTGTCATCCTCATGTTAACTCTATTAGCTTTCTCGTGGTTTTTACATTTGTCTTATAATTTTTTTGCAACAATTTTTCTCAGTTACATTTGTATCATTCATGTGCCAATAATGTTATTAAGCTGTCTTTACTGAATGCTGCTGATGATATGCTTTCTGAGTTTTTTAAATTTTATTTATTAATTTTTGACTTTATGTTTCTGTTATTCACGACATGAGTTGTGAAAGTCTTAGTGATTGATTCATCATTTCATCTTGGAACTGTTACTTTACCTAAGAGCAAGACTATTTCAATGTCCATTATCTAATGTTTTTCTGGAGCCTCACTAGGTTGCTCTGCAAGTGAAACTTGCAGTGTCTCTCTTGCATTTGGAAAACATATGCAAATCGCATTTCTTTCAAATAAATATTGACCACACTAGACTGCCTAAAAATTTGAGAGAAGATGACACTAGTTCGTTATTTTATGCTAATAAAAATATTTGTTCAGAAGATTTCAAGTTTATAGGAAAAGTTTACTCCAATTTGAGATTTAACAAATTGCTATAGTTTTGAGATTTAACGTTAAACCCCCTTTTTACTCTGTATACGAAGAAGGTTCTATTTGGAGGGAAAGAATATCTAGGAAGGTAGGAAGGGCAATAGAGGTAGTAAAATAAAAATAATACTGTTTACGATGACTGAGAAGTTGAGAAATGAGCTTATCAGCAATGGAGCTAGTCAGTCTTCTGAAAAGGATGTGGATCTAGCAAGGACAGAGATTCTAGGATAGTTTATAATCGAAATAGGAAAAGACGGAAGTGGCTGAATTTTGGTGTTAGGAGGGTTTTATAACAATTCAAAACTTCTATTCTATGAAGCATGGACACTCCAAAATTGATGCCGTAGCAGTGTCCGACACGCGGACACGGGGACACGCCGTGGACACGTACGGGACATGCCAGATGGCGTGTCCCTTTAATTTAATGATTTTTTTGGAAGGGGACACGGCAGGGACACGGAGGGGACACGCGTGTCCATTTCTGGACACGCCATGGGACACGGCGGGGCTCGTTTTTGAATTTTTTATATTTATTTGGGGCCAAAGTATAATATTTAAAAAAAAAAAAAAAAAAAAAAAGGCCCTAATCGAAACTGAGTAAAGGAGAAAAATTAACCTTCTCTCTCAGTCGAAGCCCTCTCTCTCAGTCGAAGCCCGATCGAAGCTCTGTCTCTCAGTCACAGTCCTCCGACGTCGATCGCAGCCTCCGACGTCGATCGAAGCCCTCTGACGTCGATCGCAGCCCTCTGACGTCGATCGATCGCAGCCCTCAGTCCCTGCTCCAGTCGTCTTCAAAGGTAAGCCCGTCTCTCGCTCTCTCTTTCGCCTGTCTCCTCTTTCGCTCTCTCTCTCTCTCTCTCTCAGCTTTCGACTGAGATGAGATGAGATGAGATTGAGTTTTATTTTTATTTTTTTATTTTTTTTTACGTTTATATATTATATGTAACATACTGTTTTTTTTATTTATTTTTTATTTTGATATATATTAATAAGCCTCTTTTTTTTATTATATTTTTTTATTTTGATATATATTATATATAAGACTCTTTTTTATTTTTATTTTTATTTTTATTTGTTTATATGTTTATATATATATATATATTCAAGTCATTACAGATAATGCCGCAAATTGCAAGGCAGCCGGGCACCTAATTGAAGCACAATTTCCTCACATCTTTTGGACTCCTTGTGTTGTGCACACCCTCAATCTTGCCTTGAAGAATATTTGTGCTGCCAAGAATGTGGAAAATAATTCAGTTGCATTTGAAGAGTGTAATTGGATTAGTGAGGTTGTGGGTGATGTGATGATGATCAAGAATTTTATTTGTAATCATTCCATGAGGTTGGCAATGTACAATGAGTTTGTGAGTTTGAAACTTCTTTCAGTTGCCGAGACACGCTTTGCTTCTTCTATTGTCATGCTTAAGAGGGTCAAGTTGATAAAGCAAGGTCTCCAAACAATGGTAATCAGTGACAAATGGAGTTGTTATAGGGATGATGATATTGGCAAGGCCAAGTTTGTGAAGGATAAGTTATTGGGTGACTTTTGGTGGGATCAAGTTGACTACATACTTTCCTTTACTGCTCCTATTTATGACATGATTAGAGTTTGTGACACCGATAGACCTTCTCTTCACTTAGTATATGACATGTGGGATACAATGATAGAAAAAGTGAAGATGGTGATATATAAGCATGAAGGAAAGCGACTAGAAGATGAGTCTACATTCTATAATGTAGTACATCAGATTCTTGTAGACCGGTGGAACAAGAACAACACACCACTTCATTGCTTGGCACACTCATTGAATCCAAGGTGATTACAACACAATTTACTATTTTTATTAATTTAAGTTTAATATTATTCTTTCACATTTATAATGAGTAGTACTTTTTTTTCATTTTAGGTATTATAGTGATGTGTGGCTTCATGAGGATCCAAGCCGAGTTCCCCCACATAGGGATGAGGAGGTTTGTCTTGAGAGAAAAAAGTGCTTGAAAAGGTTCTTTGATGATCCAATGGAGCGCACTAAAGCAAATTTGGAGTATGCTAAGTTCTCAACAAAAGAGGGGCCATTTGCTGACATTGATTCCATTGGAGATAGATGTGATATGGATCCTCATAGTTGGTGGGTTGTTCATGGTGCATCTGCACCCACTCTTCAATGTTTGGCTTTAAGGCTACTTGTGCAACCTTCTTCTTCATCATGTGCTGAGAGGAATTGGAGTATATACTCTTTTATCCATTCAATGAGAAGAAACAAGATGACACCCCAACGTGCAGAGGACTTGGTTTTTGTTCATAGCAACCTCCGTCTTTTATCAAGGAGAACCCCACAATACCATGAAGGAGAGACCAAGTTATGGGATATTGCGGGCGACACATTTGATTCATTTGATGATGTTGGAATGCTTGAGGTTGCAAATCTGTCACTTGATGAACCTGAGATGGAGGTTGTGTTGTTTACAGATGATGGAGGTGCAAACGAAGAAAAAGGTGGTGATGCTAATGATGATGAAGACGTGCAAGAAATTGGATCTACTTGAAGTTTTGAAAGGCCTACTTCTTTTTTTCTTTTTCTTTTTTTTCTTCTTCTTTGTCTCTTATTTAGTGTTTTTGTGAAGAATATTGTTGGATGTTTTCCCCTTATATTTATTGTTGGATGTTGGATGTTGAATCTTTTGCCTCTCTTATATTTATTGAATTAATGGTACTATATTAGTGTTTGTTAATTTTGATTTAGAATGAATGTAATACGAATCTACATAACACATAAAAATATATATATATATATATATAAAAAATCGCCGTGTCCCCTGCCGTGTCCGTGTCCCCATTTTTTGAAAATTGCCGTGTCCCGTGTCCGTATCCGTGTCCGTGTCCGTGTCCGTGTCAGTGTCAGTGTCCGTGCTTCATAGCTTCTATTCCCCATTGATTTCTTATATGCCGCAAACTCTTAATGAATGAACTAATACTTTTCCAAACAAACTATGGCTTGATTTTGTGGTTCATCAATTCCTTCAGTTCTATTTGGAAGGGATAATTATTTTCTGGTATCCATTGGTGTTCAAACTGGTTTTGTGAATGGTTGTGTAAATTAACTTGCACCTTTTCTTTTCTATATTACGGCAGTACAGAACCTGCCTTTCATTGAGAACATGGCGAAGAGGATACAGAATGCTAGCCTATTGTTGGATGCTAGCTTGGGGCATTGTTTCATAGATGGACTGCAAAACAGGGATGAGAATGCAATATACAATTGCTTACGTGCATATGCAGCCATTGATAACACCAGGAATGCTGAAGAAATTTTTCGCTCAACTGTTGTGGCTCCACTGATTCAGAAAACTATTCCACACAATTCACTGGGGATGGTTGGTGGGGCATCTGGAGATGAACTCGAAGAGGATTATAAACAAATAAAGCAATATATAGAGAAAGATTGTAAATTTTTACTGGAAATTTCCTCTACTGGTACGTAATTGACTTCTTTTGCTATTTTTTCAACAACTTTATAATATAGCCTTATCCCCAACCCTTTAAGGTTGCTATTAAAAGCCCTTCAACTATTGCATTACATTTGAACTTTTTGTTGAAAACATGGAACTACCTTGTCTTTCTCACTAAACCAATTGATGTTATTGTGCTTTTCCCTTCTGTAGTGTCTTTAGCTGAGATGTGACTACCCATTGGCCTAGTCACTGTACTTGTTTAGCCCAAGGCATACATTCTCGTTCAATGCTGCTTTTAAGTAATGAACAATGCACAGTTTCTTGCTTTGCCAATTGTTCAGTTACATATCATTGTTTAAAATATGAGCGGTTTACTTACATCGCGACTGCCCTAGATCTTTTTCCAAGTTTTCCTTTGAGATGATCACCAAGCTGCAAAATCCTCTTGCTATCATAATTTTCTTATACTGTTTATTTCTTCATCCATCCTTTTCTCTCTTTCTTAATCTTCCCTTCATTTAAATGATATGTCCGATGTAAAGAAAATGGATTTCCTCGGTATATCTGAAATGACAAAATGGCATGTTCTTCTATATGATTACGTGTTAGTTATTAGTTTCTTTACTATTTTTTAAATTGTTGTGCTGTTTGGTATGGTGTGCAGAAAATTCAGGTTTGCATGTATTTAGCTTCTTGGCCAATTCAATCCTTAAAGAGGTTCTCTCAGCAATCCAAAAGGGAAAACCAGGGGCCTTTTCTCCTGGAAGACCTACAGCATTCTTGAAAAATTACAAATCAAGCCTAGATTTCTTGGGTCATTTAGAAGGTAGATTTTTTTTCCCTTTTCATTTTCTTTTTTTATTGGCTCTGGATTTTTAAGATAGTTTAAAAGCAAACTTCTGGTGTTCCTGAATTTGCATTTGTGAGTCAACTGCAATCAAATTTGAATGTGCACATATGTTAATTTTGTTTATAACATTCAATTGTCATGCAAGGTTATTGTCCATCCAGATCTGCTGTTGCCAAATTTCGGGCTGAGGCTGTGTACATTGATTTCATCAGGCAGTGGAATGTTGGGGTCTATTTCTCGCTGAGGTACTCAATACTTCTCTTATATGGTTCTTGTTATTTAAAAATTGTGGAATTTACAATTTAGGCCTTGTAACCGTACAACACTCCATTCCCCAAAAAGAGGAACAAGAAAAAGATAGGAGGAAATAGGAAAGATGTGGGTGACTGATATAATTTAAATTACCTCAGATTCCAGGAAATTGCTGGGGCTTTAGATTCTGCACTGACAGTTACTAGTCTTGTCCCAATTCAAAACTCACATAAGGGCGGGGAACATTCTCAAGATTTAACATTGAAACCAAGTGTTACACTTTTGGACTGCTTGAGATCCTGCTGGAGAGAAGACGTTCTTGTCCTTTCTTGCTCTGACAAGTTCCTTCGCTTGTCATTGCAACTTATTTCTAGGTCAGTTTATATTTGAAATTTTGGTGTTGCATTTTCCATGCATTGGACTAATTTGCTGACATTCAAAATATATGACTGCATTACGCTTGTAGGTACTCCAATTGGTTGTCAGCTGGATTGGCTGCTCGCAAAGCTGGTAATGCAGGCTCCTACCCTGGATCTGAATGGGCTATATCTTCTGTCCCAGAAGATTTTGTTTATGTACGTATCATTTCTTATTTTGCTATATTATATTTTCTTCTGCTGGAATGAGCTTATTCATGGTCTTTTTTTGTTTTTTTTTTTTGGGCTTCATTTGTGCTGATACAATTTTTAATGTTTGGTTTAGTTTTAAAAATATGATTTGGATCAAAAAATAAAAAAGTTTGTTTTGGTTAACAAACTTTTAAAATACATCTCAAAACTCAATTTTCTCTCTCCTCTCTCCTTCCCTTCTTTTTATTATTATTATTAATAAATCAATCAATCACTTTTTTCTCTCTCCTCTCTCATTCTCTTACATTCTACACATTAATCAATCAAATTTTCTCACACCCATCTATTCAACTAAAAAAATAAAATTTAAAAGAAAAAAAAACTACAAATCATCTCAAAACTATTTCAGAACTCATTACCAAACAGATTTGAAACTTTCAAAACTCTTTTCCACAACTTATCTTTCAAAATGCAACTCAAAACTCATTTCAAAAACTAAACCAAACGGAGCCTTGTTTTTCTTGGTCAATATTGTGGGAGGATATTGCTCCATTGCTTCTTGGCATGTCCTTTGAGGATTTAAGTTGTGGGACATCATCATGTCTTCCTTATGTGAAACTCATTTTATGGGAAAATATGCGTGAGATCGTTTCGTTTTAATATTAATCCGTTGCTTCTTGACATGTCCTTTTAGGATTTAAGTTGAGGGACATCATGTCTTCTTTCTATGAAACTCATTTTATGGGAAAATATGCATGAGATTGTTTTCTGTTTAATATTAAAAAATGTGAGATTGTTATTAGCATGCAGATGAAAACTCTAAAGTGGGTGCAACTCGGGTAGGTCCGGTCTGGTTGGCAGGTTGTCCAAGCTCAATCCAAGTTGTGCTGAGACCTGTCTAGGCCCAAATTATAACCGAGGTTGTCTGCTCAAGACTGACCTGAGTTAAACCTGAATTGCTTAAATTGTAAATGAATTTCAGTTTTTTTTTCCCATCTAAATTATTATTAAAATTAGACTTTATTTACATTTTTTTAAAGAAAATCATTAATAATATCAAAACAAATAATTTATATAATGTAAGAGATGCCTCTATGTAGTCTTTACAATTATGAGTGAGAATAAAAAAGGTAAGATTTTGTATTACTTGTATATATAATATATATTCAATATGATTTAATAGTCTAAATTACTTTAATATCATGTAATGACTAATAATTTATATGTATATTTAATATTTTTATATGTCTATATATGTATAATTCCGGCATTGGGTTGCTTGGATTGTTTGATGTCTTTATCCAAGCCCGTTCAAATTTAATTCGGGCTTCTAAATTTTTGCCCAAGCTGGTACTGAATTCAAAAATATATTTTCTAAGCCCTAAAAAAATTTGGGCTGGACTCAGGTTGAGACTGCCCAAGTTGCACTCCTACTCTAAAGCCATAGCAGAAAAACTTTACTGTTTTTTTTTGTCAGTACAAAATGAAATATATATTTAAATGACTTGACATCTAATATATTCTGATGAAGGAAGTAACATGAAAAACAAGGTCTTTCTTCCAGATTATGTTTCAACTGTCTTCAAGAAAAAGCATGCGGCAGAAATGACTGTTTGTTTGGTTTGAGTGTATGAATGTGATAAGCATATGTTGAAGCTGAACCTAGCAAATCGTATTTCTGCTTCAGTCTGATGATGCTATCTACAAATGGAAATATGTAAGGGGATGTGATGCATATGATTATATATTCTGCATTTTGTGACCTCTTTAGTCTTAGCTGGATATTAGGGTCTCTCTCTCTCTCTCTCTCTCTCTCTGTGTGTTTTAAGATAAGCACTAGTCACCTTACATTGTATCCCGTGTTTCAATAAGCCTTCACTTGTAGCTGCATAGGTATCCTTGTTTATGGTCATTGCCAGTTGGCAATCAATGATAATCACCTTGTATTGCATCCCATGCTTCAGTAAGCTTTTACATGAGACTTGTAGGTATTTCTTGTTGCTAATTAAGCACTACTGCCATTTTGCAAACTGTATGGTGACAGAACCCAGTTGGTGTCTTTTCAGATGCAAGTTAATGGCATTTTTGAGTACTTTATACCCAATTTTGGGCTAGTGTTAATATAGTATTGTCCTCATACTAGTGGATTGCGTTTCTATTAGAGCTCACAAGCCCGGACTATGTGCTACTGTATGGAAAGGTCTTACACACCCACATGACTTCAAATTTAGACCACTTAGTTGGTGCCATGTTCAGTAGATGATTAATTATGCTTAGCTGCATATTAAAGGACATTATATGTTGCAGATAATTTATGATTTAAATTGTCTGGTGGCGGAGGTTTCTGGTGACTTCCTGGGACATGTATCCGAGCTACTTAGCTCATGCTCCACCGAAGTCCTTGATCTTGTAAAGCAAAGCATTTTACAGGGTGGAAAATCTCTGAAGGATCTTATACCCCCAGTGATGAATTCAATAATAGGAACAGTAGTTGAGAAGTCTGTGGAGGTAAGCTGCATATTTTATCAAAGGTTTTATTTGATTTGGTTGTGCAATGATAAATGAATGGAGGGGCATATGTAAATTACCGAGTCTTTATCTTATACGTGGGAAGGCTTTTAGGTTGTGTTTGGATCATGGATTTGGGTAGAGATTTGGAAAGGGAAAGGAAAAAGTGTGTGAAAAGTAGCTATATTTCATTCACATTTTATCAACCTTTTCCTTTTCATTTTCAAATCCTTACCCCAATCCATAAACCAAACACAACCTTAGGAATTTGATAGATCTTGGCAATTTGACTTGTGCTCTTCCAAAATTTTCATTGGCCATTGATAGATTAGGTAGTCTCTTCAGTCTACACCTTTATTCGTCTTTAATTCATTTTTTTGTTCAAAAATATTTTAGGACTTGAGACAACTGAAGGGAATAACCGCGACTTACAGGATGACTAATAAGCCTCTTCCTGTTAGGCATTCACCATACGTGTCAGGCGTACTGCGTCCTTTGAAGGTAAGAAGTCTTCTTTTCTAATATATTGTGTATCATTTTTCTCTCTGAGTGTAACATTTAAATTGCTGAATTCCTTGGCTGAGCAACAGCATTTTTTATTTGAATGCCGTGTATTGCAAACTTTCTAACACAATTTTCCATTGAATCCATTTGTTTATTGCAGCATTTAGATGAGTTTTCTTTAACAAAACTTTGTTTTATTGTTGTTATTATTATTTAGGTAAACCTAGAAGTTGAATCCATTTTGTTTGTTTCATGGACAATGTAAACCTCTTGTTGCCATGTCAAAGGCTGATTAATGTCGAGTTGAAGTAGTTTTCCAAACTAAGCATGGTTTTTAGCAGAACTGTCTTCAAAAAGGGTTTTCCATTGTAGAATATTGTAGATGTGTGATGGCAACAAAATAATGACCATGGTGAAATACACTGGTAAGCATTGGTTTAATCATCTCCTTTTGAATGGGCCTTCAGTGTCGGAGTGTCCGTAAAAATTATCTGAACCTCTTGGGCATAATGACAAGATAAGAGTTTTTCCTTAATGCCAATATGTTATTTCTCCTTTTGAATGGGCCTTCAGTGTCCGAGTGTCCCCCCTAAACATTGCACCTTGTTTTTGAACTTTGACTATTGTAATGATAATGTGAAACCGTTTTTTGGAAAATTGAGTTTCTTTCAGCTATATAACTTATGAAAATTTGTTTCATAATTCTTTGACCTCATAGATGCATACATCCTTATTTGAATGCTCTTGTTCCATCTTCTTATGAAGGAAAATATAGGTCTTGTTTGGTTTGTTTTTGAGAAAAAAGTTTCAGAATTTTTTTTGAAAAAATAGAAACTAATTTGATAAAAATAAATATAAAAAAAATATTTTAAAAATTTTAAAAATTATTTATGGCCTCCCAAAAGATAAAATTATGTAAAAATGATAACTTTTTGATTTTTTTATTTTATTTCTTTGAACAAATTAATTTTTAATTTTTTAGAAAAAATTTCTGAAACAAGTTTATGGAAACCAAACCAAACATGGCCATAGTTCTCATTTAATTTATTTATTTAACCTACTTACATGTTGAACCCATCCTTGAATGTGAAAGGAATTTTTGTTGTGTTTTTGGGTATCTTAACCTTCTGTGTGATGTACGCACCATACTTGTCAACTTATTACATTGAGATATTAATGTAATGAACCACTCCATGTTTTCAGGCGTTTTTGGAAGGAGAGCGAGCCACCACATATTTGACGAGGGAAAATAGGAATGAACTCTTACAAGGTGCTGCGTTTGAGATAACCGGTCGTTATCATGAATTAGCTGCCGACCTTGTTAGTGTGGTTAGTACAAAGATCACAACCTTTACTCTTCTGAAATTTGCCCCTTTTTTGTTAGGATTTTTTTTTCCAGTATATATCTTGGAGGAATCTTATTTAAAAGCTTTCGAATATCATGACCAGACTAGGAAAACAGAATCTTCACTTCAGAGAATACGACAGACTGCACAAAGGCGAGCTGGAGCAAGCTCAGATGTCTCTGACAATAATGTGTCTGATACTGACAAGATCTGTATGCAACTATTTCTTGATATTCAGGTGAGCCTTGCTCCTGTAAATAATTGCTAATAATTTTCAAATTCGACTCATCTTCCTCATTCATTAAATCGTCAGCGTTTGCATCCACCGCCAGTGTGTATATATAGATGTACCTTTTTCTTGTGATTTAACTTCAGCTGTGTTTATTGATCAGGAATACGGGCGCAACCTATCTGACCTCGGGGTTGAAGCAGCCAAAATTCCAGCATATTGTTCCTTGTGGCAGTGTGTTGCTCCCCCAGGCCGGCAAAATACAATAAGTTTCTAGTTTTAATCATTGGGCCGCCATTTTATCGAGCCACTAGGAAAGATGCATTTGGCAGTGAGCAATGGAGCATTTGGTAGCGAAGTGGTACATAGATATACCATTTTCTTTTCCTATAAATTTATTTTTTATAGGCAGTCTTCTTGTGCAATACACTTTTTTTGGTTTGGTTTTATTTTCAGTAGTTTCGTCTTGATATTCGGCCTTTGTTTTTTTTGGTCCAATTATTCAGAGTTAAATACACAGTTGGTGTAGTTTGTTATAAATTCTTAGTGCTATGAGTAATAAAAAAGTATAATATTCTTTTATCTTTTTCAAGTTTGAGCTAGAAACAAATGTGGCATGACTTGAAAAACAAAGTAGAATTGAGGACCATTAAGCTGTGTTTGCAAACTGATTTCCAGATTGGTTATTTATTGTCAAGTGCCAAACGCAGACCGTCTCAATATATCGACTTAGGAAAAGTGTGAATTTTTTTTTTTGGGCAAGTTGAGTGTTCATCAGGTAAGCAATGCACGAGGCTCTTGTTAGCCTCTATAGCTCATAACCCAAAAAAGACATAATAGAGCTCCTTATAGCATGAATGTGCACTCATTTTGTCATACATTCAGGTTTTGCAAATCAATTTTTTCCCCCCCTTCTTTTTCCCGTTGGTAATATTTGAAACAGTAACTAAAGAATCTCATCAGAATCTTACCCTTTGCAAAGTTTACGCCTCGACTAGAACAGCAAAAAGAAATTATATGAAAGCAAAGCAAAGAAAGAAGACCATTTTCTACTCTGTAAATACCACAAGCACCATGCTCATTGATCAATTTGCCCGAAGGGCCTAAGGCTACAAGATCGTAATCAATTCCATGTCATCCCTTCTTCCTAATACAAATTTCCCAACTGGTATACAAATTCTGTTGCTAATGAAATCAACCATAATCACGATGGTTTGCCATTGTAACCATCCAAGCCAAACTATTCTGCCACAATTCTATTCATTTTTGTTGCTGTTGCCTCCAAAATCACATAAAAATCTTATTCATGTCCTCAAAGTAAGGCCAGCTTTCCCGGCTTTTCTCATCACACTTGCTTTCCTGTTGAGAAAGAACATCACTGTCAAGTCAAATAAATAAGCTGTTGTGACACTTGTACTTTGACAATGTGTGTTGTTTGGTAATGTGAATGTTAAAACTGTCGCAACTATTATGTAACGGTTGTGGTGGTTACTGCCACCCGTTACAGCCGTTTTTGCAATGTGATCACAGATGTGTCGGCCGTAACGGTCGTTACGGTGCCGTAACAACCGTAACGACCTGTTACGCACCGTTACATAATGGTTCTGAACTGTTTCTTTCAAAAAAATACACAAAAAAAAAAATTGACAATGGGAAAATAGGGATAGAGAATAGGGAAGATAAAGAGAGAAGATGGAAGAGCAAGAGATAGAGAGAGAAAAGAGAAGAGAGAAGATGAAAAACATGTTATTAATTTGTTGAAGCTGTAAGACATATGTTATTCTATTCAGCTGCTATCACTCAACCATTTTGTTTGTGTGTGTCTATCTATATATTGTTTGAAAATAATAATAATAATAAGTGTGGTTATTATCTATTTGGCTTGGTTAAAATATGTATATATATATATATTTAGGTTTTATTTATTCTCTTACTTTTGTCATTGTTTATCTTATATATAATAATTAGTGATTGATTTTTTGTATAATATAAAGTCATTAATTATTAAAATAAAATGTAAAAAACTCAATTTATAGTAATTTAAAAATATGAAATATATTGGATCATACTTAAAAATTTACAAAAATTGATCAATACTTATTTTAAACCTAATAAATATGATCATGGAAAAAAAAAATATGCGTATTGGTAAGTTTTTTTTCAAATTGTGCAAAAAATAAAAAAATTTATGATTTCAGTTACCGCAACCGTTACGCCACGGCCTTTACACCCTGCAACCACAATCGCGCCACCGCCATCGTTACGGCGACCACAACTGCTTTTCAGAACCTTAGTTGTCATGGTAATCACAATATGTAATGCATATACATATTACTGATATATATACACACATAAACACTCTCCTATGCACATACACAGTGCAACAAATTGTACTATATGCCAGAAAATGCTTTTCACCAAAACAAACGGAGAGCTAGAAAAGGTTGAGATTTTGAAATGCAGAAAAATAGTTATTGGCTCAATACACAAAGTAAACTCAATAGTTGAAATTTCAATTAAGCTCAAAACCTTTTCTACCCACGTACGTGCATTAATGAACTGAGATCTAAAATGCTTTGAAGGTCATCATCAAGAACAAACCTCATATTTCTGAACCAGAGATGTCCATTGAGCTTTGCACTGCCCGGGACTTCGATCAATTCCATCAGCCAGCAGGTTCGCAGATATCTCTTCCCAGAGGACCATTCGCCGCTTCACAACTTGGAATCTGTGATGGAGCAGGCCACGCAACTTAATTAGCTTTGTAACCTCATCGGGCTTCCATTTGTTCTGTTTCACAGGCTTAGAAGATTTTAATTGGGTAGGAATTTCATCCGAGTCATCGACCTTTCTTTCTTTTTCAAGCTTCTGCTTATGTTCCTCCTGCGGAACAAAACCATTGCTATCTTTTACCAATTGATCAATTGGTGCTGTTACTATGTATTTCGTCCAGAAATCATCTGAGTCCTCGGGGTCGAGAGACAACCTCTCTTCTGACTCGAAACCTGAAGTAGTGGCTTCCTCAGATAGAAGTCGTTCGTCTTCAATGCCATGACCTGGATTAAAGAAATAATGAGAAACAATGTCAATACATAGCTGAAAGAACAAAAAAATCACTTCAACAAATTATGCACATGTGGTCACAAGCATAGTTAGAATGTTAATATAAAAATCTGACCACTTAATTAATCCCTAATACTATTGTATCGTCCACAAAGAATAATATGGCAACCCATGCAATTAGCGTATATTGGTTTAAGTCAACCACAAAATCTTCCTGATGATTTTATTTTATTTTTTTAGTGTAAAAAGGAAATTTAATAGACAATCCCACAGAACCTTTTAATTTTTGTTGTGTGTTGTTCACTGAATGCATCCTGCTGCTGCCTTCTTCCTCTTCTATTTCAGTTGATTGTCTCTTTTCTGTATGACCATCCACCACTTTTCTTAAATCTGATATCCCAGAACCTACATGTGACTTGCCAGATAGCCTTGCATTGAGCTCATCAGAGAGAACTGCACTTGGATTTTCTATGGCAATTGCAATGACTTCAGGCCTTTTACTACTGTACTTCCTTACCATTTTTCTCAAAACCTCGGACACAGTTCTTTCCATGTGAGCTAGAGGGCAATTTACCGGACAGCTTGAGAGTGCAGCGTGGGCAGCTTTGTGGAGAGCATCCAAAAGCTTTCCTTTGTCAAGCCATAAGCAACGGGTAGTGATTCTTATTTTCCCTTTTAATGTTTTCTGAGTCAAATCATCAGCATCTTGAGGGCGTAAAATTTCCATGCTGCAACAGAGAGGTAAGGTTATTGTTATGCGGATGAAGCATAAGAAATTGTTTGATTTCAATGTTCTAAAAGATTTACCTGACCACTATAATACCATCCAATGCTATTCTTAGTCTTTCTTCAATGTTGAGTTCAGTGGATGTACCAAATGCTTTATCACCGTCACTGTACATCAACTGTAGTTTCATACTAGAATTATTTGAATTTTTTCTCAATTCAAGAATTACCATATTGAAGGAACAGAAGAAGAAAAGAAAAAAAAAGCAAGGGGGGAACCACCTGCAAATTCTCCTTCCCTAGTGACAAAAAACCATTAGACAGCACTCTTCTGTTCCTCAAATGTGAAACCCCAAGCATTTCTCCATTCTTTATAACCTGATACATTATATATCCAGCACTTAATTTATTATCATATGGTTATATAAATACATTGTGTCATCAAAACATGGGATCCTCATCAGTTCCTTATACACAAAGGTAATTAGACAAAACTGCTTTTCCAACAGTGACATCTTCTGATAATCTACAAGTGGGGCAATCCCTTGTCAGCAAGAATGGTGCTTATTCATATGGAACATGAAATCTTGTTTTGCCTCTCACTTTAATATAGGGCTGAGATTCTATAAGTGGGCCCAATATAGAAATCTTAAAACCAATAAAATAAATATGTATTATAACATAGTTTCTCACTAGGCACAAGTAACGAAGAGGCCAGAATTACATTAAATACAATCAATTCTTAGTAAGTCCGGCTAACACGGAAAAAGCAACAAGGAATGGAAGAATAGGTTTTATGGCACTTAATAATACTAATCATATCATTTGTAAACTGATTTAAAATGCAAATTTAATGCACTTACAAAGAGAATTTATGCAGTACTACATTATGAAAACGATACATTGGAATAAATAATAAATAATAAATATCTCTCACAGATAATGATCCCATCACTGAACAACCAGACAGTACAAGCTCAATTGCTACTAAGCCAATGATGTTTCATGTAAAAATTAATAACAATCATGCCAAGAAAACTACCAACTCACAATAGTGTGCCGAATCCCAGTTGATTTTCCAAGTAATTCATGCTCTTTCAGGAATAAGAGTTCTCCATGGATGGGTAGAAAATGTTGTGGCTTTACAATCTTCAGTACTTCATCCTTCAAAAGTACACTTTATATTTAGATTGATTCTTCTAAAACAAATTAGCAGTTTTGATAATAATAAACACAAAAAAAGCAAAAAATGCAATGGGACACTTCAAGTTTGAGCATGTCATAAGAACTGATAATCCAAAACAAAGAAAATGCTTTAAGAGAAATAGATTTCACAATTAGAGACTCGTACTAATTCTCATCCACTAATCTGTTTTAACCAGAAACCAATAATTAATATTCACTTTCATTGTAGTGCTCATAAGAAAAATAATTCAATATACAGAAAAGGAAGAAATGATGATCATATAAAAATGTCTCATTGTGTTTATTTTTCTTATTAGCTCTAACTTGGTTTGAGGATCAAAATAAAATACTGCAGGAAGAGCAAAGCAAACCAGGGAAAGAAACCAAAGGATCCTGAATAGTAACAAAATCTTACCAATTCCTCCCGATACCCGTGACCAGATGAATGCAGCTGCTCATTCTTTCCCATTACTATTGTCGATCCAATCTCTGATATACGGTTTAGCATTTTCATTACACGAGTCTCATTACCAGGGATCACCTGAAAGATATGACAAGTAAGCATCACAATATGTAGGAGCTTTATTGCGACTGCCCATAAATGTGAACTATCAAGAATCACCAAAGATCTGGCGTGAGAAGTTGAGGAGAACAAGTAGAACACTCCAAAAGTTACTCAGTAAACCAATTAGTCATCACCAAAGTAAAATAACTAAACTATAACTTGAAACTAAAATCTAAATGCATGTGTCATCTCAATTAGTGAAATTTTGGAATAAGATAAGGTGGTCTCCAAACATAAGGTAGTCTCATGTGTCCTTCAAGGCTGAATTGATGATGCATTATCTAACATAAGGTAGTCTCCAAAGATCTGATTTTCTTAAATAACAAGTCATTACATCGAGATTTACACATCAAGTAGCTGAATAGTACACAAACCAACCAACCAAGAATACAGATAGCGAGTAAAAGACCACAAATGGCCTTCAGCTCTCAATTTTCCCATCTTTCCAAGAATAGGAAAAAGGTTTCCATAAAGAAATCAGAAAAGAAATTTAGATTTATAGACACTTCTGAAGAACACAATGAAGCACTGATAACACAAAAATACAAGTACAATGACGCAAAAAGTTAAACAAATATGTTATGGTTTGATTTACATATTTTATATTAGATGATTAACATAACTCTGATTAAAGAAAAGAGGTTGGTTAAAAAGAAAAAGATCCATTGCATGCAGCACTTTGATTTTCATTACCTTTGCAGAGTACAGAATCAAATCTTCTTTGCTCAATTTGAGTGAATGACTACTTCCATATGATGCAAGATTCAGTGCAGCACGTGGTTCTGCCTGACACAATAACACACAGAGTCATGCCACAACATTCAAATAAAATAAATGAGGTTAACATTGCAAAGCACCTAAATTGACTTACTTGAGAGCCAGTTGTAACAATTAGCAAATCCTTCGGAGCATAAGCATCTATATCTTCCACTTTCACCTATACAATCAGCATAGGCAATCTCAGGAAGAGTGGAGAAAAAGGGAACCATAATGAAATTACAAAAAATTAAAAAAAAAATCATGTAGTGTTACCAGAAAAACATATTCTGTTGTACTATAATTCTGCCTACATGTCCTCCTACAAGTCATGTATACCAAACTAAAAAGAAACAAAATGTGAACAGTCATGTTCCACGGACATTTGAACATGAAAGTTGTATAAGACATGACACACTCATGCTGCATACATAATAGTGCAACTTATACCAGTCAACTTAAAATTCTGACCAAACTGACATGAATGGATTGGTTTTCTCAAGATCTTAACTCTCAAGCAATGTCAGTACAGACCTGTTCAAACATTTGAACAACTTGAAAAAGACAAACTATTCTAGAATAGGTGGTCAGCTCAGTCAAACTAACCTGATAGGATATTGGTAATGTTGGCAATTTTTGTTTGTCAAATCTTGGCCTTTGTAACCTTGGGATGTGTTGTAATTTGTCAGTAGACTAGATCGAGTGTTGGTGTTAGGACTGAAGAATTGGCACCCAGAGATGAATCGCTCTGTTATGTTTCATTCAATTAGAACGTTTGGTTTTTGAAAATTGCACTAAAATTGGTCTACTTGCCTAATTGGAGTCATGATTCGTTTAGATTTTATTCTAGCTTCCAAAACAAGACTTTAGCACGTCTCTTGAAATAATTGCAATTAACTCCGCTAAATGATTACAATTGCACTCTAGAGCTCAATAAATAAATAAATTAATTAATAATAACTTATATACATGCAAACCACGCAACCAATATCTATGAGTAGCAATTGAAGTAAAATAAATTTACTATCCAATTGATGTATTGGCACTTGTTGCACTCTAATGAACGCTTCATAAGAATGACTAGCACTACTGATGTAGGACGAGAAAGGATTACTCTCTTACAAGTAGTAAGCCCAGTTTAAGTATACTGGCAGCAGCAACAATAGACTTATAGGGGCTAGATTTGGTGGGATTTTGTGACTGCAAAAGTATTTAAAAATAAGAGTTTAAGGGTTTGTAAAAAAGTAGGGTTTTGGGAATGAAACACAAGTGTTTAGGGACAGTTAGGTGGTTGCTCTAAGCACTGTGAACAGTGACGTGAATAGTAACCTTGCTGGATAGAAGAAAAGAAGAAGAAGAAAAAGAAGAAGAAGAGAGGAGAGAGAGAGAGAGAGAAGTGCGTCACCCTTGCAAGGAATAGGCCAATCACACAAACACAATCTCAAATTTTCATAATATTCTTTGCTATTGAATCATTGAGATTACACATATTTATAGGCAAAAGACTCTCCTAATTCTATAAGGACTATTTGTCAAATTTAGAAACTAAAAATGTTTAGCTACTATTAATATTCTAGACCAACTATGACTTCTAATTCTACTTCAATCATAATAAGAAATTTTAATGACTTCTGATTCTACTTCAATATCAAAATAGGAAATTTAGACTTTTGACCACTAAGATTATTTTAGACATAATAAAATCCATATATAATAACTCATTTAATAACTTGACCTAAAATAAAACCCATGGGTGACCCCTACAACCTATGTCCAACAATTATTGGAATTACTATTATATCCTTAATTACTAAAACTTACTATAATGACATGAAGACTCAAAATTATTCCAAATCTTTAATTCTTGATGCCCTAAATGTGCTTCATGTGAAATTCTAGATTTGCTCTTTTTCTTCTTTCCACGATCTTCATCATTCTCCCCTCCATTCAAAAAAACTCGACCTCGTGTTTTATAATATTGAAGTATAAGGATTATGGAATCTTGCACTTGCAACTATTCAACTTGATTATTTGGAACGAACCATGAGAAAATCAAAAAGTTCAATGCTGTCATCACTCCATTGACCACATCAAATTTGTCAAGAATAATAAACTCAAAGTGAACTTCATTTTTCTTGTGAAGAGCAGAAAGTTCGGTTGCATTCTCATCATTCTCTTTGGCTTCCTTGGCTTTAGAACATTGATCATGATGATCTTTTATGCTTTCTTTAGTAAGCAAATTGATTTTCGTCTTCCTTTTTTCAATATTCTCAATATTAGCAACATGTTCATCTTGTTCTTTCACAGTTTCTTCAAAATCTTCAACACTGTCATCCTTTTGCTCCTGAATATTAGTCTTCTCTAAAACAGCAGCCAACAATCTTTCCATGGAAGCTTTCAGTCCATTCAAAGTTGTTTTGATAGTATGCACATCACTCTTTATTGTTGCAACATCCTCCTTGGTAGCCTCATAATCTTTTGAGAGGACTTCGAACTTGGAATTCAATTCAGCGTTTGTCACCATGGTATTCAATAAAACAACTTTGTCATCAAAAATAAATAAATAAACAACGGTGAAGAATAAAAATAGGATCTTGAAACTCTGATACCAAACTGATGTAGGACAAATAGGGATTACTCTCTTACAAGTAGTGAGCCCAGTTTACGTATACAGCAGCAACAATAGACTTGTAGGGTTGGATTTTGTGAGATTTTGTGGCTGCAAAAGTATTTAAAAATAGAAGTTTAAGGGTTTGTAAAAAGGTAGGGTTTTGGAAATGAAAACACAAGTATTTAGGGACAGTTGGGCGGTTGTTCTAAGCATTGTGAATAGTGGCGTGAACAGTAACCTTGCTAGATAGAAGAAGAAGAGAGAGAGAGAAAGAGAGAAGTGCTTCACCCTCGCAAGCAAGGTTCTGAAAAACGGTTGCGGTCGCCGTAACGGTGGCGGTGATGCGGTTGCGGTTGCAGGGTGTAAAGGCCGTAATGTAACGGTTGCGGTAACCGGAACCGTGAATTTTTTTATTTTTTGCACAATTTGAAAAAAACTTACCGATACGCATACTTTTTTTTCCATGATCATATTTATTGGGTTAAAAATAAATATTGATCAATTTTTATAAATTTTCAAGTATGATCCAATATATTTCATATTTTTAAATCACTATAACTGAGTTTTTTACATTTAATTTTAATAATTAATGACTTTATATTTTACAAAAAATTAAAATTAATCACTAACAATATAAGATAAATAATGACAAAAGTAAGAGAATAAATAAGAACTTAAATATATATATATATACATATTTTAACTACGCCAAATAGATAATAACCACACTTATTATTATTATTATTTTCAAACAATATATAGATGGACAGACACAATTAAAATGGTTTAGTGATAGCAGCTGAATAGAGTAGCATAGGTCTTATAGTTTCAACAAATCAATAACATGCTCTTCATCTTCCCTCTTCTCTCTCTCTCTTTCTCTCTCTCTATCTCTTGCTCCTGTATTTTCTCTCTTTATCTTCCCTCTTCTCTCTATCCCTCTTTCCCCATTTTCAACTTTTTTTGTGTGTTTTTTCGAAAGAAACAGTTTGAAACCGTTACGTAACGGTGCGTAACAGGCCGTTACGGCTGTTACGGCACCGTTATGACCGCTATGGCAGCCGCTACGGCCGACACACCTGTGAATCTCAATCACACTGCAAAAGCAGCTGTAACGGGTGGCGGTAACCGCCAAAACCGTTACGTAACGGTTGCGGCCGCTTTTTAAAACCTTAAGGGATAGGCCAATCACACAAACACAATGTCAAATTTTCATAATATTAACTCTGCTATTATATCATTAAGATTACAAATATATTTATAGGATAAAGACTCTCCTAATTCTATAAGGACTATTTCTCAAATTTAGAAACTAAAAATATTTAGCAGCTATTAATATTCTAGACCAACTATGACTTCCAATTCTATTTTGTAAGAATTTATGTATTAGTGATTGATGTTGTTACAAGATTGATTGATTACAATTCCTATACAATCTATATATAGAAGAAAATGTGGTAGTAGGTGTAGTGGAGGTGATAGTGGGTTAGGTGAAGTGGAGTGTGTGGTGAAGTGGAGGTAGGTGAAGTGGAGTGTGTAGTGGAGTAGGTGAAGGTAAAGATGGGAAATTCTAACATATTTCAATCATAATAGGAAACTTTAATGACTTCTAATTCTACTTCAATATCAAAATAGAAAACTTGAACTTTTGACCACTAAGATTATTTTAGACATAATAAAATCCATACATAATAATCCATTTAATAACTTGACCCAAAATAAAACCCATGGGTGACCCCTACAATCCATGTCCAACATTTATTGGAATTACCATTATACTCTTAATTACTAAAACCTACTATAATGACATGAAGATTCAAAATTATTCCAAATCTTTAATTCTTGATGCCCTAAATGTGCTTCATGTGAAATTCCAGATTTGCTCTTTTTCTTCTTTCCATGATCTTCATCAACTAGATTCCAGTGAACTAACTCAAGGGAACACACTTACCCAAAAAAAAAAATAGAGGGAACATTTTATTTTGCAATTACACAAAGGGTGGATTCTATCTTGAAAATAATGCTCCCATAACCCTACAATAGACCACCTAATATACTGAGATGTTGACTAAGGCAGGCCTCACTTATTGATAAGTCAAAGTGAACTAGGTTAAAAACTTCAGTCCATTTTTTCTCTCGAGATTATGAATCCAGTGCATTGAGCACTATAAGATTCATATCGAAGTAGACATGAAATTTTGCATTGTGTGATTCTCATGACGGTCCTTCAGTGCGTCGTATATTATACATCAGCATATTAATCTGAAATATTTTATTTCAATGGATGTGATAAACCATTCGATTACATAGAGGTTAATCATGTTGCAATTGGCTTGATAGATAGCTGGTAGCCCAATTCTATTAGTAATCGTGAACACTTTAAAGTTACGAGTTTTATGGTTTATATTACTTGTAACTTGAAGTAGATATATACCACAAAACTTGAGGTTGAGTTTGAACCTAGGACAACCACTTTGTGCAAATTATGCCAAATGTTAGGTCTATACCAAATCTACCCTTCCCAGACCCCATCTAATGGAAGCTAAACTGGGCATTTTCTCTCTCTCTCTCTCTCTCTCTCTCTCTCTCTTGTAAATGAAACTCCTTCTCCTACATAAACCATATTCAATGGGGATTGCATTCATCTCATGAAACCATTTCAGAAATTTTGTTTCTATTGATTAATAATAATTACAAATCCAATTGGTTTCTCTTTGCACAAATCATCTTTACACTTTTGAGATATATCCTAGGTTTACTTGTCTATTCTTGGTTTCTCTTGAATTCCAATGTTTTTCTCAATCAATACACTAGAATTGTGCAAGAGAAATCATTGAGAGCATGATTGTTTTATTGCTTTAAAACCCACACAGTTCTATTACATACCTATCCATCGGTAGTTCTGTAATGGAGCAGCCAGGAGCAGAGATCAGAGCAAGGAGTTTCATGAATTAAAAGTGTTTATGTAGTCAAAGCGATAAGGAGTGGAAAGCAAAGCGAGGAGCTTGTGTTGAAGAATGCTAACGCGAGGTAAACCAGAGTTTGGGTTGTAAGTCCTCTCTTCTCAAGTCTTTTAAACCCTTGATTCGGAGTGAATTTTGACTGATTGGGTGTGACCATGCTTTATTCCCTTGACGAGTATTTTCAAGGTTTTCCACATAAAAGTTGTTGTGCCCTGATTATGACTTATCCAATTTTTGTGTGGATGCTTAATTGAATTTTAATTGGTAATCTTCCTTGAGGAGTTTGGCCTTAATGTAACCAAAAGAACTGACCCCCTTTAAACCCCATCATTTATATTCTATACATTCACTGGAATAAAAAAAATCCAATATTTCATACCATGATTTTTTCTCCTTCACATTTTTTTGTTATACGATTTTGAGTCAAAATGGTTCTACGTAGAGGGGAGGACAAAAGACCATACCAAGTAGTTTTTTATGGAACTTAAAATAGTAAGCCTCTAACTGTCATAATTGAATTCATCCCAGTGCAATGCCAAAAATCACCATGCCAACTTAGAGCGTGCATGTTCGGCATCAATATCACAAGAAAGAAAAACTAAAGCCATGAAAAAGGGAAAACAGAAAGTAAAGAAGAAATGGCTGAGGTCATTACCAGAGTTGATGGATCAATTGGCGCCTTTCCATCTTTCCATGCAGCATCTAGGTATGTCCTTAAGGACATGCCAACAAATACCTAAAAATGATGATAACATCATCTGTTTCTCCATACTTCTTTCTTACATATAAAGTGCTCTACTCAAACAAGAGCAAGAAAAGGTTGCACAAAGGTCAGATAAACATGAGTAAACATACCAACTTTCTACCAGTGATATCAGCTGCAGCTTTCACGCTTCCGAGACGATGTATGTTTGATGCGAACTGAGTAGTAAGAACCCGTCCTTTAGCAGCTAAAATACGCCTCATCAGTGCTTCAGCAACAACAGCTTCACTAAGTGACCTTCCAGGTGAAAGAACATTTGTCGAGTCACTCATCATCTGAAAAAGAAATTAAGTGATGCATGTCATGTTGCTTCTATTCTTTGCAAACATATATATATATATATATTTTTTCTTACAAGAATAAAAAATCACCAGAGAGCTCCAAAACGGGTGTAACCAAAGTGCACAAAATAAAAAAAACTAATCCAACTGATAGTTCATGCAATCTAAAAAGTTAACAAAATAATTGCGGAAGAGCAAAACCAACTGGGGAACCATGAAATTATAAAATGCAAGGCTTGAAACTAAAATAACTAATAAAGAGAACACCACTTTATTACGCTACAAGAATGGACTATAAAAAATGTTTGGTACTGCACAATAGAAGATCTGATAACCATTCCTGTGAGCCAAGGTGTACGAGTTTGGAGCACAACAATGATTTTCAAACAAATCCTATAATCTCCGAAAACAAAGCAATACAATTTCATTATTTTTTTCTGTTGGAACTGCTACCATGTGATTTACCAACTTAAACAATGTAATAGCTTATAATTTAGCATACATCAATCATACAACACCACCAGAACTCTGACACAAATGTGTACTTTCAGCTGACCCAATTAAATAAAAATGAGAAACTCTACATTGCATTTTGCTGATTAAGTTGAAACAACATCCAAAAAAACCACCTACCTAATCTATCCCTCAAATTGAAAGCCAACCCATGGTTGAATTTTGCAAATTGTAGTCTAACTAAAAAGCTAATGATAAACAGATCCAGAAGACTTACTAATGTTACTCCCTCTTTTGAGAGTTCCTCTAGAGCTTCACGATCAAAAACTTTACCGTCCACTGGTGACTCATCAATCTGTCGAATACAGATTCCACATTTAGCTCAAAAAGTTAATGTAAAGAAGTTAAGACAACATATAGTAAAGGAATAAAATAGAATACCTTCCAGTCCCCAGTATGAAGTATAGTCCCATCAGCACATCGGAGAACCAAACCACAACAATCAGGAATAGAATGGGTGACCCTGATAGGCTCTATTTCAAATGGCCCAGCATTGAATCTCCTTCTAGCTTTAAATACCTTAAGCCTAGATGGAACAAAGATCCCAAACTCCTTCAAACGCTTCTTAATGAGCTATTCAGAAACAACATTCCAAATTGATGAACAGATGTAAAAGAACTAAACACAATATCAACAGATGACAAATATAATCTACAATTTTTTTTAATAAGTAAATTTAGTGTATGTATAAATATAGAGACATCATAAATAGTCTCAAGAACCCCTAACAATGACAGATAATGTGTGCCACTGGCACAGAGAATGGGGGTTGGAATCAGTCTGTGTTTCTTCTTAGCCAGCATTAAGAAAATAGTCAGAATTGGATGAAGTTCTGGTGATTTTAAGGGCAAAATTATATATTAAAGGCCATTACCAATGCAAATATACATAAATGTATATATTTGAGGAGACTATTAGTACTTGCAGGGAACATCATTAATGACCTATGTCACAGAGACTCCCCTAAATGAGCGAAATTGCTGTGTCAAACACATGAGACTTGACAAGGGTATGGGATATGTGCGCGACCAGTCTACTTGGACATGCACTAGTAAGCATTTCTTACAATTTAAGTTCTCGAGAGGAATATCTAACCATGTCCCCATGTTCTTCTACTGGGGAATTAGATGAATCTGATGCTTAGAAACATTCCACACACATGCATGTATCTGTAAAATGGGTTATTGACATGGATGTGTCTCTATATTTTGGTCTATTAACATGCATGTTATTCCTTCGTATCAACACTGCCACCTTTCTAGAATTATATACAAGAACGTAATAAAATTTGTTAAACCTTTGAAGCATACCTCCATTGTGAAGGATGAGGCAAATATTGGTGTATGAGAATCCAATGCTCGGATTACCTGCTCAGAAAGCAAAGAACAAGATAAAAATTATAAGAACTAAAAAAATGTATAAGATACTAAAACCAAACGGGAAAAGGCAATAAACCCAGAATAAGGATACTAGCCTCATAGAAGAAAAGTACAGCAGGAAGAGGAGCCACATCAATGAAACGAGACAACTTTAGGATAAAATTACACCAAAAATTCCTATGAAGTTTAAGGCTCCCACTTTTGGCTTAAAAAATCCAGTTCTTATTAGCCAATCTAAGAACCTAAGATAAACTTGGACCAGATTTTACAAATTTCCAAATTTTGTGTATGAGATCCCCAAGGACCTTAAGAGGAATGATTTTAATTTTAGGCTCCTTTGAACGAGGACAACAATACAAGGCGCAAAAAAAATACATAAAAAGCAATTAATGGAAGCTATGAAGCATGGACACGCCAGATTTCATGCCGTGCCGGTGTCTGACACGGGGACACACCGGGGACACGTACGGGACACGCCGGGTGGCGCGTCCTTTTAATTTAATTATTTTTTTTGTAGGGGACATGGCGGGGACACGCGTGTCCACCAAATCTGGACACGCGTGTCCAAACCTAGACTCACATAGCAAAAGAGAAGAGTAAAGGAGAAGAGTAAGGTCAAAAGACAAACCTGGGCGTCGATCTCCATCCAGTCGACCACTGTAAATCTCTCTCTCTTGCCTGTCGACCTCCATCCAGTCGACCACTGTAAGTCTCTCTCTCCTCTCGCCTTCCCTCTTGCTCGCGTCTCTCGCTCTCGCTCTCTCTCTCTTGCTCTCACGTCGATCACTCTCTCTCTGCTCTCGCGTCTCTCGTCTCTCGCTCTCTCTTCCTTTCGCGTCGATCTCTGCTCTGGAGTCACTTGCTCTCTCTCTCCTCTGATCTGATTCATATGTATAATATTAATATATATATGTATAATATATAGATATATTAGGTATAATATATCTAATATATATTAGATATATTAATAAATAAAAAAAAAGACATATTAGGTATAATATATATATGTGTATTTATTTAATATCAATAAAATGACATATCTTATAAGTTATATCTTATATAATACATATACGATATAATATATACTTATACATATTAATAAAAAAAAATTGATAAAATAAAATAAAAAAATCAATAGAAACATATTTATTTAAAAATATTATAATTAAATAAAATAATAAACTTGTATTAAAATAAAATATTTATAATAAAAAAATTTTACCGTGTCCCCAGCCGTGTCCGTGTCTCCATTTTTTTAAAATTACCGTGTCCCGTGTCCGTGTCCGTGCTTCATAGAATGGAAGTGATTACAACTAGAAGTAATTTCCAACAAATGTAACATGTAAGGACAAGTGCATGAATGCTTATACTAAATTAAACTCACATAAAATTACAGGTATAACCACCAAGCAAATTCATATCATTTATTAGAAGCCATCTTGAGCATTCCACTGACTTGTACCAAAATAAGGTCTGCATGATCTGCTCTGTGTTGGTTTTCCAAAGTTTTTACATGTGTACAGGCAAGCAATGCCATTCCTCGATGTGTAAAACAAAGAGCAAAGACAACTCGAAAATGGCAGTCAAGTAAAAACATTAGTAATACATGACAGACAGCTGATGAAGCATAGAAATGACAGAGAATCTCAACAATTAAGATAACATATTTCTGTTTAGAACAAAAATATAAATGCAAACAGAAGTAAATCAAAAAATTCAGTAGTGATATGCATATGGACCTAGAGTATGACAAATTTGTTTTGGAAACAAGTTTCATATGTACAAAATATTAGAAAGGAGAAAGGGAAGAACTTTTTCAAGTGAGTTTAATAGATTTAGATTTATTAGAACTAATGAAAAAAATCCTTTTTATAGTCATGCCTTTTAGCGTATCGGGATATTCATATAAAAAAATAAATTAAAAAATTATTCTTGTCCGCGACATATGCAGACATAAATGATAATACCACATAAACACACATCTATACAAATGGGAAATGCTAATCTGTCCCAAACTAGGGTGAAGGTAGCCTTCTCCACAAAATTCAGTGGACCAAGTTACCAACTTACCACCAATGAACTTCAATTTCTTAGATTTTTGGATGCTTGTTATGTCTTTTTGATTGATAAATGAATATATTATTTGATCACAAAAACTTCTTTGAAAACTTGCATCATTAAGGACAAATAATACCCCTGCAAATCTTGTGGAAGAAAACCCTTTCAATGAGTGAATGAGGTATTACATCATCCTTAAGAACCAGTAAATAAGGATCACTACTTTATGCCTCTTTCAATGAGTTGGCCACAAACTCTTTCACCACATGTGTGCCTGGAAGAAACACAAACTCTTTCACCACATGCCACATCTAATACGGTCAAATATAGGCCACCGTAGGTTATCGCAAGGACCCTCACCACAACAAGCACCAGCCATCAACACCATAAACCTTGATTGTCACAATTGTTTAACAACCACAAATTAATAAAAACTGGTAAAAAAACTCCATCTATCTATAACTGTTTCTAGAGGCAATCAAATTCAGGCCACATAACCAAATAACGTGAACCCCAACTACTGCCTTGGTTGAACACAATCGCCAGCCAACAAAGACAACCAACCCTACCAACATCACCATTCACCACCACCAATTCTTCAAGGACAGAATTAATTTTTCACATTAACAAGTCAAATTGAAACCTCAGTTTTTCCTAAACATAGAGGGTAAAGGAGAATTTACTGCTTGAAATCATAACAAAGAACACAAAACAATCAACAAGAAATTAGAAAATACTAATAAGCGGAAAAAGAAAAATGGTCCTTCACAAGTCTTCAGTATCTAATCCAGGTAACACACAGAACACATGTATTTTAATACATTGCTGTCAAAATAAAGCGACAGAAAGAAACTTTACCCATGGCAACGCACCAATGTGATCTTCGTGACCATGTGTTATGACAACTGCTTCAATTTTGTGACTCCATTTTTTGATAAATCTAGTATCAGGTATAATTTTCTGGACACCAAGGTCGTCATAGCTGAAATCCACGTCCACACATGATCCAAGGTCAGTTCATCAAGAAAAGAAGGGGATGAAGCTAAATTAGCAAGAATTATATCAGCACTATGGAATAGTACGACTAGGGATGGTGAGAAAACCAGGAAGCTCAGGTCCCCACTCTGCCCCTATTAGAAAGGTATGTAGTGCGCTTAGAAATACAGCACTGTCGAGTAGTACGAGACTACCAATGAAAATGCAAAATATCATATAAAAAAGTTAATGCCTGCCAAAATTTCCGTGCTGGAAATAATTTTTTGAAAGGAATTTGACTAACAAGATTAGATCCTGAGTTTATAGCAGAGATCTACAGCAGAAAAAAAGAAAAAAAAGATGTAGCATAGATAAAATTAAGCAAGTGTTTTCTTCAGTAAGCCACTTTTTGTTTTTTTGATCAACAACAAACAAAGATATATTAGGCCCCGTTTGTTTGGGGTTATAGGGAGGGGATTGGGTTTGGTAGTGAGGAGGGGATTGAGAATGGAGTGTTTGTTTTGAGAAATAGGGAAGGGATTAGTAATCCCTTGGTATTAGTAAGGAGGAGGAGGAAGGGGGATTGGTAAGGAGGAGGCAGAGATGGTATGAGAAAAATAGTGAGGAGATTAGAAATTTTTTTATTTATTTTTATTTTTTATGTATTGGGAATTTTTTTTAAAATATAATGTTTAATTTTTTATATTTTTTTATTTGTTTTATCATTTTATATAAAAATAATTTAACAATTTCTCACTATTAATCCCCTCACTATCAATTCCCTCACTATTAATCCCCTCACTATCAATCCCCTCACTAACAATCCCTTCACTATTAATCCCCTCACTATGAATCCCCTCCATTCTATATCTGAAAACAAATGGGCCCTTAAGGCTCAAAGCCAAGAAAATAGAGGATAAGGCATCCTTTTACAAGAGAGATGGAAAAAACCAAAAAGAGAAAAAAGAACACAAAAATACCAAACTCAAAACTACTACACAGAATAAACTGACACCCAATCGGAAGCAAGCAAAAAAAGCGAAATCCCTCGGAATACTGAGCTCGCCGAGGCCCAAAAAGACGCTAAGTATCTCATCCTATCCCATAAATAGTCTATATCCCGGGCAACTCCTTCGAAAACACGGGCATTTCTTTCCAACCAAACAACCCAGAAAATTACAAAGACAACACCACTCCGAAGCACTTTAGCCCTCTTCGACCTTCCAAAAACTTGAAAATCAAATAATAGCATTTGAGCACATCCTTTTGGAGCCACCCACATCACACTACCCAATCCAAACACCCTATTCCATAACCACCTAGCCACCAAGCAATGCAAAAAGAGATGATCCAGAGATTCTCCATTTTTACAATACATAATGCACCATTAAGGATTAAGATACCGTAAAGGTCTCCTCTTTTGCAATGAATCATTTGTCAAAGTGCCCCCATGAACCAAGATCCACATGAACACTTTCACCTTAAGAGGAGCACACGCCTTCGAAATCTTGTTATGAATTAGAAACTGTGGTACATGAGAAGTATCAATGATTTTATCAAGAAAGGATTTACAAGTAAAAGAATTCGACGAATGAATATTCCAAACCAATCTATCCTTCAAAATCGGAGACAAAGAAACATTTTCGAGCCTTGACAAAAGAGAAACCAATTCCGGAACTTCCCTGTCATGAAGGTTCCAGTAGAAATTAAAATTCCAAGATAAAGGAACCACCAAAGAACCCGCCACAGACGCAACAGAACAATTATGAGACTGAGAAACGCTATACAAAAGTGGATAGGACTCAGCCAAGGATGTCGAGCCCACCCAAACATCCTCCCAAACTTTGACCTTTTTCCCATTACCCACCCTCACAGAAATGAATCAGGACCAAACTGAATAAATCTGAGAAATGGATTTCCAAGGAGCACGCTCGTTACCCCTTGAGACCACCTGAGAGTCCCTACCATTAACCTGAATCCCATATTTACTTTTAATAATCGCATGCCATAATGAACCACACTCATTAGGGAATCGCCATAACCACTTGCTCAGCAGAACCATGTTTCTAGCCACTATATTACCAATGGCCAAATCCCCTTTCTCCTTAGATAAGGACACCGTTTCCCAGTTCACCAAATGATCATTCATTCCCTCATCTTTCCCTTTCCATAGAAAATCCCTTGTTAATCATATTATTTAATTTTGATGATGTCTACTCTTCTACTTTTATATTGATAATTATTATTCTGTTTGTTTTTATTTATTCAAATTCTGAATATTGTGTTATATTTAATATTGTGAAATTTTTAATAACCCAATTCACCCCCCCTCTTGGGTTGCCTAACTGGGATAACATCCCTCATTAACTTTTCAATAGATTTTGCTACCTTGACTAGAATCTTAAATATAGGCATGAAATAAATTAAAATTCCACTTAGCACTGTCTTAACCAGAGTGTACCTACCCTCACGAGATAGTAAAGCCCTACTCCATCCTTCTAACCTCTTTCCTATCTTTTCCACAACCGGATTCGAAAACACTTCACCCCGTGGGTTACCTCCCAGTGGGAGCCCCAAATACTTCATCGGAAATGTCTCTATACCACACCCAAGTAACTCAGCCATTCTCTGAATCAAACTTGAATCAGCATTAATACTCGCTACCCTACTCTTCTCTAAATTTACCCTGAGGCCAGAGAGCACCGCAAAAAGCCTAACCACCGAAAAGATATTCACCATTTGGCTCTCGTCCCCCTCAGAGAAGAAAATAGTGTCATCCGCAAATTGCAAATGTGTCACACTAATCTTATCTCTACCGACCTGTAAGCCATCAAACAGACCTACCTCTTTAGCCCTATCCACCATCTTTAGTAAGCCACTAAAACTACAAACTTACAAAAAATATTATAAAAGAAGGGGAATCCATAAAAAATCAATTCTTTATAAAGCAGAGGAATGGTGCAAAATGATCACCAAGCTATAACTTGTTAAAAAGATGTAAATCAGACAAGTTTGTTAAGACTTACTCTGGAAACATTATACCGGCATCAATGAGAATATAACGATCATAATTCCCAACAAGCATGCAATTCATCCCAATTTCACCCAGGCCACCAATTGGCAGAACACGGAGAGGTGGGCCATCAGAACCTTCATAAAATTGTTCCATCTTGCGCTGAACAGAGTCTTCCATACTTTTTCCAGCCCCTTCCAGTCTTCTTGATTTTTTACAGGGTACTTTACGTCCATTTGCACCTAAAATGGATGAGTAAGACCAACAAGAATAACATCAGTCTATGTTTAAAAAGAAAAGAAAAGAAAAGAAAAGAAAAGAACTATGGAAAACGCTTTCTTTATTTTTTTTGGATAGCGAATATGGAAAACACTTAGTAGCGTTTGGTAACATGTACGTTTTTGTTTATGTTTATGTAAATTTTATAAACTGATTTTTGTTTATTTTTGGAAAAACAAAAACTACAAACATGTTTGCTTTGAACAAAATGTTTAAAAAAAAAAAATTTGCTTCCCAGAAGGTTCGAACCTGGCCAAAACCTCCGCATAGGAATATTACTGTTGAAGTTAGTAAGAGTAAGGTATAAAAAATCAATTGAAATTGCTTCCCATCAGATTTGAACCCTGGCCAAAACCTTTGCATAAGGGAGTCATGCGTTGCTCCGCATTTCTTCTTCCATTTTATGTTTGTAAACTAACGTAAAGAAAATTTTTGAGTTCACATTTTTTAGCTCAATTTAAAAACTGAGAATACTAATTTACAAACACAAAAATTTACCAAACAAATTTTTATGATAGATTTTTAAATTTTTGTAAATATAATAGTTACCAAACAGACCCTTAGAAAGTGCCTTTTTAACAAAATAAACAAGAGGCTTTGCAATAGGCACTTCGCAAAGTGGTTAACATTCAACCCAATAACCTTGAGGTTGTAGTGGGTTCAAATATGAGGGCAGCCACTTTGAACATGATGGTCAAAGTGGATTAAAATGGGTGCACTTTTTTTTATTATTCTACAAACAAAACAAAAACTAAAGATAAATTTATCCTGTAGCTTTAAAATACAATTAAGGAAAAAATATTAAAATTTAGATTCCTTATCACTTGTGACCTAGAAAACCCACAACCTCCAGTCAAGTGAACCTATTCCGAGATAAACTCTTAACTAGTTTAAGTTTTTGTTACCATATTGTTATGGTGACCAAATTTGGATTCTAAATTTACTATTTTGTTACTTGGAAGATGGAAACCAAAATCGGCGTGAGATCAAAGATTTGTTTCCATTATATTCCTCACTTTTTGCCAGCAACAATCCAGAGGATCGACTTATTCTTAATGCTGGCCCTAGCGTTAAGTGTATATGAAACGAGACACAAGAAAAAAGAGTGATAAAGTGATAAATGAATCCCATGAAAGTTACATTGGCAATGAACCTGGACCCTACAATCAGAAAATTACAATTTCAATAAGGCTCCACAAATCAGTTGTATTTCTTGTATGAATAGAAGATAAACAGTAATCACCCAAAATGAACAATCGGATTATAGCAAACGTGTCATCAAAATCACTCATTCACAAAGATTCCAATACAGCCAAAAACATCATTACACCCAATTAACTAGCTTCCGGAATTCAGATAAACGATGTGAATAGCAGAACAACATAATTAGATAAAAGCGTCATTAACCTTGAGGTTATGGGTTCAAGTCTTGGGACCATCACTTTGTGCATTATATCAAAGATTAGGTATGTACTCAATATTTTCTCTCCCAAACACATTAATGTGTACTAATTATGCGTTATTTTTTATATGCACAGTTTGGTTAATAAGAAAATGAGCAGGAAAGAAAATAAACTAATTGCATACTAACAGGAAAATATCTATCTATCTATCTATATATTCTATCTATCTATCTTCTTCTATGTCTTCTATATATAATATTATAAAGTGAATGCTTCTTATGGTGTCTTTCCCAAAATACCCGTATCTATATTTTAAAAACAAAATCATATAGAGGGGAGGATAAGACTTGAAACCAAGATCTTTGATTTGATAAAGAAGACGTTTACACACAATATAGGTGCTAGGTGCCTTTACCATTATTTATTTATTTATTATTTTTACTTGGATTGCATAAGCATCGACATCAGCGGCTACATATTGTGATATTAATACATCTATCAATTTTTTTTTTTTTTTAACCTACTTGAATTGCATGCGTGTGCTCACCGCTAGTATATAATAGAAGTATCTGGCCTAAAAGGCAACCATTTCAATTGATGTAAGATGCCCATTTCTGAAAACAGGATACACTGAATAAATTACTTTTATCTAATTATTTTCTTGTTTTTCTCAGCAACCAAACAGAGTGTGAAATAGTCCAAGCAACCAAACAAACAGCAACAATTACTCGTGTATAAACTCGAGGATTGCAATACCTGTTGTAGAAGGATAGGCCAGAGAGCACGAAATGCGGTACCCGTTAGGGTTTGGTCGAAACGAAAACCTGTACGGACAAAGGGAGAGAGCACTGAAAGCGGCCATTTTTATGGTGTTATTGTCAGTTTCAGACGAAACAGAGTAAAACGGTGCAGATAGAGAGTGAGGAGTTTCATATGCGTTGAGAAGTTTTAGCCATGGATTTGAAACCCTAACACACTGGATATTTGGAGTGTTGTCTTGTTGAATTGAAGCGGGAAATAGATAGAGAGAGAGAGAGAGAGAGAGAGAGAGAGAGAAATTTGCAGTTGGGGAGGAGAAGTAGCTAAATATCTTTCTTATCATTTTCGCTCGAGCCTGAGGACGCAAGCTCGCACGCGGGCTCTCGTACGTGTGACTTTTTTTAAAATTTAATTTATTTTTTTTAGCATTATTTTAGGGAGAATTATCAAAAATTTAAAAAAAAATCTGTAAACTTGCAAAACTAATTACAATTTGATATAAATAAAATTAAAAATAATAACTTTAACTTGCAAAATGGTTATAAACATGTGAGAATGTTTTACAAAATATTAACTCGAAACAATCTATTACTGGTCAACTCTAACAGATCTGCCAACTATCCATTATTATCACCAATCTCTCTCCCACCCTCGTGTGGGCTCTCCAGCCCCTTCCCTCCCTTTCCTTGACCTACCAAGACACTCCCATCCCATCCCTTTGCAACCTGGATCCCTTCCCTCCCCACAACTCGCCCTGCCTTACCTCACCGCCCTTGACTGCCAAAATGTTCATAACATAGCATAAGAGACTGCAAGTGGCTATTTTTTTTAATAAAAGATCAAGTTTGTTCTTACGATGGTTTTGAATATAGCTCAATTCCCCTCAAGATTTCATTTTTTAGGTTTTTTTTTCCTGAGTACAGCATTCCTATTGGGCATTTATCATTTTTTGACCTAAGGTAAAAGGCATTTGCATTCAACAAAAAGGTGAAATTGCATTTTTTTTTTTAAGTATGAGCAAAAGTAAATGCATTCATTCCTATTCAACACAACAGTGAAATACCGAACAGGGATCTCACAATCTGTCAGAGATACGCTTTCCCTTTCATATCTACGATGCAATAGGTGAATGTCTAAATTATTTTCAACCACTGACCCGCTGTTAAAAAAAGAAAAAAAAAACATTTTAAACATATTTGGACAGATGAGAAAAAAGCATCAAGGGCTTACAATATCATCTAAAAAAAGATTGGAAAATCATGACCCCGCTTACTAATCCAAATGAATTGACAAAACAAGTTGATCTGGAGTTGTCAATCACAAAAATCATACTCGCACAAGTGAAAACATTTGCTCAATCACAAACTCACAATGCTCAATCACAAACTCACAATGGTAAATATATCCGTTTGTCGCCTTTGTTCAGGAGATGCTGAATTTGGTAGTGTACAACAACAATCTAATTAGGGTTACACCACGAACAACATGAGACCCAAACTACAGTTACACTGAGGGAATTTTACATGTCCTTGAGTTCTCTGCACATGTAGACTCATTCTTTGGCATGTCCTGGAAACCATGGCAGACCTGGTTGGAGGCATTGCTTTGTATCTGGAACAGGAACGATGGGACCTAGAAAGATGCGCCACAAGTCAAGTATAATCGTGACAAGCATTGCAGCACCCAACGAATCAACGGCCACTCTGGGTAGGTCCCATGGATCGCCAGGTTTCTCATCGATCCTGCACATGTGGGTAAATCCACATTTAGGAAAATATTAGGATTAAGCCTTCTAAATCCAGTGTATTAAGCTATGTTTGGATCTAAGACTAGAGGGATTTGTGGAGAGAAAGGAAAACGAAAAAGAAATGTGACAAAATGTTTGGTTTTCAAACTCAAAAAACATGTTTTTCGTTTTCTGTTTTTTTTTTTTTTTTTTTTTCATCTTTTGCTAAATTTTAAAAAAAAAATTAATCAATTTTTAAAACTTTTTAGATGCACCTAATGTAGATGCACCAAAAAGTATTAAAAAAAAAATGACTACAATATGGAAAAAGTTCTCTAAAGACAAAAAAAAAGTCTCAAAAACAGTATTCAAAAACTAATTAGCTTCTATTTCAATCACTTTCCTTTTCTATTGCCTTTCCCTCCGGAAATCTCTCCTTAAATCCTTATCCAAACACAACCTTTAGAATTACCTATGTATCAGATGTTATTTACTTCTCACTTTGTCTACAATTCGGGCATTGCACTACGAAAGAGGGGGGGGGGGGGGGAAGGGGAAATTATGTGCATTAATCTGATGAAGAAAAGTGAAAATGACAACTTTGATGACGACTGTACCCGAAACCCAGTGCAAGTCTCCCGAAGGATGTTGTATATTTCTTATGCTGTGTGTTCATCTACATACTGCATGTTCATGTATTCCATTTATCCTACTATATCTCCACGATTGTTGGTGTTACTTCAACTCTAGTCTTAGCAACCAAAAACTATGTAAAGTAAACAACATAGGTCCGGACATATTCTTGAATAAGCCTATAACAAAATCACAACTTCATGTGTGTCAAAGACATCACTCTCCAAATTCAATAGTGAAATTCTGTTAGTATCACAACTAGAGTCGCACAGTGACCTGTTTGACACAAACACATGTTCCATAAATAAGGTGCATTGACTGGAACTGGCTGGTCAATAAAACTAGTACATTTGGTGATCGTAGGGACATAAACTTACATATGATATGACCCACAAACATTCTAGAAAGATGTAAAGTTCACATTGATCCATTGGGTCAAGTTATCAAGTCCTAACACACGCATATATACACACACAAAAGAAGCGGAGGAAGAAGAAGAAGAATAAAGGAAGAAAGCGGGGTCAAGTTATTACCTCAAAAACATTGGGAAGCTTACAATGAAATAAATTGCATAGAACAAGGAGCCGACTGTATACATGGATGATCGATCCACAAATTCATAATATGGGAACTGCACATGTTGAAAACAAAACATTATTGCAATGTAATAGCTTTCTTTCAAGCCTATTGCATAGTTGCATGCTAAGTAGATAATTTAGCTTAGCATCAATTCTGGAACATTTGCGAGAAGTAACAAAGTGCATGTTAGAAAGTAATAACATTCATAATTTTTACACAAAATTCAAACTTCATAATTCAGTTAAACAAGGCAAAATATTGGAATACAAGAGTATGATGTGTGTATATTGAGAAGTACAGTAATTGCATAGAAAAACATCAAAGTGGATGTTCACATGTACAAAAGGTTAAAACATGACAACTTCAAAGCTCAAAAAAAAGAGGCCACACTTGGGCAGACCTGTACCAAAAAGCCAAAAAGGCCTAGAATTATTACAAATAAAGAACATCAACAAAATCCACAATCTGGTCAAGAGTTGGGAACACTCTCCTAGGAAGCCAACTATACAAAATAGACAAAAATAACCTCTCTTTTTTTTATCAGCGAAAGTTAATAGTTAGTTGTTAGATTCGCACTTTGGGGGAGTTGAACTCCCACCCTCTCCTTGAAAGCACTTAAGTCTTGCCCCCTATTCCACTCCTAAGAGTAGAACCTAAGACCACCTCTTCGGAGAGACTTGGTGGACAAAAAGAGACCTTAAGCCTATAGAATTGTTTCTCCACACCTAGGAAAGATCTTGGGCATGTTTGGTTTGTCTCTCAAAACATGTTTTTGGAGAGAAAATTCCAAAAACATGTTTGGTTGAAAAAAATTTTTTAAAAAAAATCTAAAATCACTTTTCTCTCTACTACACATCAATTAATCACTTTTTCTCTCTCATTCTCAATCACTTTTTATCTTACAACCATCTATTCAACTACAAAAAATATCAAATCATCTCAAACTATTTTCAAAATATACAACCAAACAAATTTTCTAAAGCTCTAAACTCCCCCCACAAAATTATTTTTGAAATAACATCTCAAAACACAAACCAAACAAGGCCCTTATGTTCTGCTCCCTCCATAACAACCATGTCAAACATAGAGGTGTCAGACGCCATGTCTTCTGTCTATTCCTCCCAACCCAATCCCCTCACTAATCAAGCATAACCCCCATCACATCTCTCTAAAACACCCACTCCATCCCAAAGAAAGGTCTCTCAAACTGCTATGCAACTTAGGAAGACATACTATTGAACTCCATCCAATCCATCCTCGTCCTCCATCCTCCATATTCCTAGAAGAGCTCTTCACAAAAAAATTGTGATATTGTCCCTAACATCTAGTTCCTCAATAAGTGTCCATCAATATGTACCCACCCTTCCTATATGATTGTTTTTATCCCCTTCCTTCCGCAGACAGATCTATTGAGTGAGAAAAAGTGAGAAAACTATAACCAGAATGATCTAGCTTTTGTCTTTAGCTAATTTATTCCATGCTTCGCAATTCCATCAAGTCCATCTTTCTTTCTTCTCTTCTCATCTTCTAGAAGTCCACCACATACTTCTTTCTCATCCAACATCTGAATCTCTTATAAGACCCTTTCCTTTAACACCTCAATTCTGTGAACTTCTCATGATTTCGTTTCTTCATATCCTCTTTTAAAAGTTTAAATTTCTTTCTCATCCAACACCTTTGCCTTTAGCACATCAATTCTGCTAAACTCCTCATTATTCCATCCTACAACAATTTCAATTTATTGCTTAGTTTCGACTTCAGAAACAACTGGACGTAAAAAGATTTCTATTTCTCACCTCAATCAATGCCACAACTTAACCATTTTTGTTATTGATGATACTGACCTTCTAGTCGCAGTTTATAATGGGGTCCACATCTTGCACTCAATGTTCTACCCCCCCACCCAACCACCCAAAAAAAAAATCTCTTTACCTTTTTTTTCATATTTATCCATCATGGTCAACTTTAGTACTTCAGGGTTGAAAAAACAAAAAGAAGAAGAAGAAGAAGAAAACAAGTATAAAGCAGCAAAGAAACGGAAGCTGAGGGCTTCATGAAAAAATAATTCATGCATGAGTCTCCGGAAGACAAAAATGACAATTGGATAGGAATTGAGGCTAGCGCTAGTGGATAACAACTACATACAGAAATCGGGTACTGATCAATAATTCATAAAGCAAATTTTTCCCTGTTAATAAACATGAACTTCACCTAACTATACTCACTTCGAAAGAAAATATTGGATTGATTTTTTAACAGCTTGCTGCTATTTCTCTGTGAATAATTAGATGAATAATGTCAATCTGTCCGTGTCTCAGTCATCTCAGTAGAATAAGCTTTAAGAATGAGCGAAGTTTTGTCTAGAAGAGGTCTTGTGCTTGCTGGACATAGCCCAAGGATAGAACCATACTTTTTTTTTTATAAGCGATAGAATCATACAGACATGAAGTGTTTAACATGCAGTAAATTACAAGAAACATACAACAAGATACCTTACAATTTGTTTGAGGTAACCTAATGACTACCCTAAAAAACAATGTGTTATTCAGATAATGCTGAAGCCAGATTCATAGCAACAGAATATGGCAGGCAACAATTTCAATTTGATGAAGCAAAATATTCAATATTTAACTCAAACAATAATACACCAAGGACTATATTATAACAATGCAACTAACAATTATCACAATCCAAAACAGCATAAAGTCAAGAAGTGCATTTAAGCAAATAGACACTTTATAAAACAAAAATGAGTTTGGAACTTAGTTGCCACCGGGTGTGTAAACAGCCTACCATTACTACTGTTACCGCCATAGTCAGCAAAAGGGAATCTGTACTTTAGACACTTAGAATAGTTATTATGATTTTTATTTTTTTAAAATTGGTTGCTGATAATCATTATGAAGAGTTGGAGCATTAGTACTTTTTATGGTAAGAATTATACTTATTTTGGGATAAGTGTCTCTATAATAATGCCTATAAAGACCATTAACCATACCAGATTAAGATATTTTGATACTTTCTTTTTCATTTTGTCTTTAAACCTAATCAATCTGATAGATCATGCACTTAAAACAGCCAAACAATAATGTCTACATTACTACATACATTGGAAATAGCTACCGTCTCCAGGTAAGCTATGAAATAAGAAAGAGCTAGAATCCATGCTGCCTTGATAACCCACTGAATTTTCTCTGGAAAGTCAGCAATAAAATGTTGCAGTCTGCGCAGTGTTATGTTTGACGTAACATGGTAAAATAGGAAGCAAACATGCGTAAGAAGAAAAGTTGTGTGCGGTACCTACAGAGAATAGCAAATGTTCAGATTGCATCCTGGTAAAACAATAAATGGTTAGGTTAACTAAATGGAAATTATATAAACATTTTAGAGTTACTACTTACATTATTCATCTTCCATGATGGGAAGGTATATGAAGCTCCTAAAACCGTGAAGAAATAATGGGTCCAGAAGTAATTTCCAACATAGCTGAAAATTATTATCCAGACACTGGCCTGCAACAGTAACAAATTTACAGTTAAAACCAAGAAAAAAAATTAGCGTAACATTCACCTTGCTTGTTTCCACTTTTCAAAAAACATTTTTCAGAAAATTCTACTTTCTTATTTTCCGTGTTTTTTTGTTTTTACTGAATTTTTTAAATATTTTAAGCAATTTTTTTACTTTTTAGACACACCTAACATAAATACACCTAAAAAGTAAAAAAATTGTAAAAAAAACTTTTAAAAATTCACTAAATACCAAAAATACAAAAAAATACAAGAATTCAGTACATTTTTTGTATTTTTATGTATTTATTAATTTTTTAAAATATTTTTTCACAAATTTTTTACTTTTTAGATACATCTAAGTAAGGTGCATCTAAAAAAGTTTAAAAAATGTATAAAATTTAAAAAATATTCACTAAAAACAAAAAAAACACGAAAACCAAAAAAGTCAATTTTCAAAAAACTTAATCCAGAAAACTCAAACCAAACACACTGATTGGTATCCAATTCAAACAATTGTTATCGTGCAGATTAACTAATCAAATGGCAATAAGGGCTCGGTTTCACTAGCGTCACGACAACCAATAAAGAAGCTAAAACAACAGCCAACAGAATAATCAAATGATTGGGACAAAAGCTAGCCAATGAAATGGCTGAAAAATAATGCAATTGGGTGGCTGAATAACAGCCTAATGGACTGGCTATATGGTGCCTGCCATGCTCGAATAGCAGGTCCATGAAGTCCCATAACTCCAATTTGACATGGCCAGCAGCTCATGTGGTTTGGCTACCATATCATCTTAAAAGATACCCAAGTAAAGTGCAAAATCAAACACTGGTGCCTAGGGATGAGAACCTCACGGGGTCCAATAGTGAACAGAATTTCCATTATCAAATCCTATTTGTATCAAAAGAAAGAAAACAAGCTCCTTTGTATATTATTCGGGATATGTGCCTCTTTCTAAAAGAAGAATATTCCCATTTCAGAAGCAAGTCTCTGGTCGATAAAAGTAATCCTTACAAAATAAAACTGCAAGGTGATGCAAAAGGGGGAATTTTTTTTTAAAACCTCTTAACAGTTCCAATCATCTGTTAGAGACCTTTTCAAAGAAAGATAAGAATATAGCAGGAGAAGAAGCCAAAGCCCACAATTGACTGGGCCAGAAATTTGGTCACCAAATGGAAGGCCCTACAACAAAAATAATATGATCACTCGATAAAATTTAGCATACAATTGATACGAAACTTGGATCATCAAACAGTGGGAAAAACAAAACATAGAACATCTGAGAGTGGAGATAGCTACATCAACTATTAAAAGGTTATAGATTTATAGTAGAATCCACATAAATTATGGTCTGCACATAAATGAAGATTGGATTTAATCAACGCAAGCTTTATTTCAAGAGAAGAAGAAGAAGAAGAGATTACATGAAAGCATTGCCACTAAAGACAAGGCAAGACAACCCTAATTTAGTGATTGATTTATAACCAACATTGTTTTAAATTTTTACCTTCTAGGCAATCCATAAGACTTGATCCACTTTTGAGCACTGTATACGGTATATACCAGTAAAATGCATGACAACGTAACTACTATTTTTCTGTCTAGATCTTTACAAAATCATAGGTACATCAAATATTAAGTCGTAGTAGACCATAGAGCCAAAAAAAATACCGCTAATCACATTGTTATGGTTAAAATATCCATACAAGCTTACAACAACAGATTTTTTATTCTACAAAAAAATACTTGCCTTCACCCAATAACGATCCTTCCAACATAAACTTCTATCAACCTGAAAAAATACACCAAAATTTCAAAGCCATGTGCACATCAATAGTTTAAAGAGGTAAGATACGAAAGTTTTCTATCCTCTTAGGCAATCCAGTTGCTAAAAAAAAGCTATATCGAAATGTAATTTTAGCTAACTGGGAAGTTATACTCCAGAAGCTACAGATGAGTTTACCAATTTCTAACTTTCCCAAGGAACAAAATGTTTAGGTAGTAGAAGGCACTTAGACTCATTCTTGTTAAGATTTTCCACCATGCAGAAATTTGTGTTAATGTATATAATAAGATGGTGGCATGTATATAATATGATAGTGGTGTTGGTGGTAGATAGTGGCATGTATATAATATGATAGTGGTAGATAGTGGTAATATATAATATGTAAGTGGCATATAATGGGTTATGATGATGTTTGTAATATCTCCTATATAAGGAGTGTCATTTGGTCTTGTAAAATAAGAAGTTTTGAATATAACAGAAATATATTCCTTCTTCCTCATATTTTCGGAGTTCTTCTTCCTCATATTTTCTAAGTTTGCTCACGTATGTATGCATGTGTGTTTGTGTCTATGTGAAACATAGATAAGTTTGCTGTCCAGCACATATATATTTATATATTCTACACACAAGAGTGAGCGTATATGCATAAAATAACACTAAACATAACCAAGCATATGAAGAGATATCAAGAAAAGAAAAAAAAAAATAAAGTAATGTAAATTTAAATGGCCTCCCTTTTGTTGTGATCTCAACCCCCCACAGTAAAACACCAACATTGCTTGAATTAGGAAACCCATATCACTGATCATACTAGCATAACTCAAAACCACCTCAAATGCAAAAAAACAAAATTTTGTAATGCCAAATTTCCACTACCCCTCATAGTAAAATACCAGTGGTGCTTTGAATGAAGAAACATATATCACTCATCATAATAACTCAAAACAACCTTAATGCATAGCATTCAGACTTCAAAAAGTCAAATTGCCACAACTTACTGGCTTTATGACTTCTTGTAAATCAAAACAACTAAAACATTAGATTTAATATATTTCTGATTTTCTCTCCTTCCTTAAATTTTTTATCAACCAACCAGAGGGGAGAAGAAAGTAAGTTCATTGTTTCCAGTATTAAAAAAAAAAATTAAAAATTAAAAAAAAAAAGGCACAAAATTATTTTATTTCCTCAAATCCCATTCAAGAACTCTACAACAATTCTTTCAGAACAGTTGCAAACAATATTCTAATGCAAAAAATATATTCCACATCACTTAGAGCATCTCTCGTTCTTCATCATTTTTTTTTTATTAAATTTAAATTTGATGAAAAAATGACTAAGAGCATCTCCAATCATTCATCAAAATTTTCATCAAATTTGAGTAAAAATTTGATGAAAAGTTTGATCTAATATGATACACTCCAATGGTAAAGTGCACATTTTCATCAAATTGGCCAGTCATTTGGCCGATCATCCTGCCAATCATATGGCGTAGAGTAAATTTCTATCAAATATTTTTACAAAATTCCTAATATATCCGAAAACCCGGTTGACCAGCCGGTCGTCCACCAACGGCCACATGCAAAATTTGATGAAAGAATAAAAGCTCCCTTGATTTGATGAAAATTATAGCTCTTCCTTCATTTGATATCAGTGTGATAAAACAGTTGGAGTATCATTTTATCTGGGATTTCATCAAATTTAAATTTGATGAAACATTTGATGAAGGATTGGAGATGGCCAAATAGTGTGCTCCAATCATTTCATTAAATCTGTATGAAATCAAGGGAGAGGCAATTTTTTCACCAAATCAAGGATGAACCAAATCTTTCACCAAATTTTCAACAAACATATTTTTACTCAACTTTGATGAAATTTTGAAACAGTAAGGATTGGAGATGGTTTTCCAACTTTTCTTTCATAAAAAATAGTTAAATCATATTTTTAGGATAAACATTGGATTGTTCCACATTGGATCAAACTTTTAACCAAATTTGCACTCAAATTTCATTAAGAAAAAGAAAAAGGGAAAAAAAAGTACGGATTGAAAATGTTCTTACAACTACAAAGTCAAATCATCAGAGACTAACATAAAGATAACAAAATCACAAGAATCAATTCACTCATCTGAATCACATCAAATAGTTTCAAATTTTACTAGTCCAACTTGTTTCATCGCAAACACATAAACGTTCATATCATATGCACAAATACGTAAACAAACCTCGTATAGCTTGTACGGGACGACAATGCCGAGGCAGAGAGTGAGCCAAAAGGGAGTGTAGAGAAGGAAGAACAATTCGCCCCATCTCTTGCTTGGATTGGGTGCGAGCCACAGACTCGAACTAGAACAATCCACTTCCTTACCTGTGAATTACGTATATATATATAAATTCGATTTGTGAAGCAAAATTGGAGTCGAGCATAAACCCTAAAAAAACCCTAGTTGAGATTGTGGACTTACCAGCTCCCATTTTCGTAAATTCGGATCTGGATCTCTCCGGCTTGACGGTGTTCAACACTGAAATCGTCGAGTCGAGTGTGTGTCAGTTACAGGTACACTATGTTTGGATGGAGTTGTCTGGTGAGGAAAGAAATAAGTTTAATGAAATTTTTTTAAAATAACAAAATTATCTTATGATGGAAGAAGATAGAAAAATAATTTATTAAATTATCTTATGATGGAAGAAGATAGAACAATAATTTATTAATGATGGAAGAAGATAGAAAAATAATTTATTAATATAAAATATTATTTTGATAAAATAAATAAAATATATATTTTTTATTTTTTTCTTATTTATTTTATTTTAATAATACTAATGATTGGGCATGTGCTTTGCATGCATGTGATTTTGCATCAATTGTTAATACTGTAATTATGTGTGTCTCTTAAATTGATTTATAATATGTATACAAAATATGAAGATTTGTATAGATAAATTGATTTGTATTTAAAATATAACTTAGTAATAAATGAATACATATTCGGTTAAAAATTTTAAATGATAAAAGAAAATTTTTATAAATATAAATATTAATTTACAATTAGATTGTTGAGATCACAAAACCCGGTCCTTTAAATATATAGTATTACACAAATTTTTTTCTATCCATTTTTTACTTTAATTTTTCATAATCTATATTTGTAATACAATTTAAGATATGAAATTAATTGCACAATTACACAATTTCGTTTAATAGTTCATTTCATAATACAAATTCATTGAACCCACTATTGCATATTATTTGCATACTATTTGTGTGCATTAATATCAATATGTAATATATTTTTATATATTAGAAGTTGTTGAGTCTCGTTTCTTGTGCCACGAAAATCTTGTGTAATGAAAAATATAATATTAGTCATTAGTATATTTTCATTTATATAGAAAATCTGAAATAGTTTTTTTATTTTTTCTAGAATGATATTATAACTTAATCTTTCGATGGACATAGGATTTTCATAATTATTTTCACGCGCGATATTTATAAATCCATATTTATAAGTGTTTGCAAAGACACTTTTATGAAACTGTCAAATTATATAATTTATTATGGCATCTGTAAGTAATCAGATATAAAAAAAATTGGTCAAAATTTTATTTGATGTACTTATTTTCTCTATCATTGAATTGTCGCGATAATGTTTGGGTAATATTTGATTTTTTTCCTTATAGTCTGACTCAAATGTGTGCATGAGGTACATTGTTTTTCTTGAACTTTACAACAAATACGATAATTCCTACTTCAGCTTGTTCAATTTTATTTGGAGAGTATGTTGCAATAGATCTTCTATAGCTTTTGTTTCACCGTCTTTTTATTTTTCTTCTTCATCGCCATTATGATTCATTGAAATAAAAATATTTTGATGAATAAGAGTTTGAGGCGATATCATATTGTTATAAATTTCAAAATCCATTTTCTCTCAATAATGTGATTTTTTCTGTGAGAGAAAAAAAAGTACAATTATTGTCACGATTGAGGTATTTTGCAAAGTTTTGATTTGTTATTGAAAGTATTTGCTATGGACACTTATTTATGTGTCATGTATGTATATATGTATTGAACATAAGTTAATAGAAGAATAATACATAATTCTGCAATTTTTTCCTAACAAATATAATTATATTAATAAAGTGATACAAATTAGAAAATTAAAGTACCTTATCGTAATATAGTATTACAGATTGACAATGTATTAATACAGTAGCATATATAAATTTACATTTATATATTTTTTTTGATGTATTTATATATGTAGACATTGACATATACGATATCACAAAAGTAATATGTGAATTTTTTTTGTAATAATATAATACATATAACAATGAGAAGTTAATTATTCATAATTAAATAGTTGGTCATAATATAAATGTTAGGGTTACATTTTTGTATATATGCATCATTTTTTAATTAGATTATTAAATTCACATAAAAATTGAAAGGAATTTGTGAATAATTTGTGTAAAATTAGAGATTAGTCAAGAAAGATATAAGGGCGAATTACATTAATAGTCCATATAGTTTGGTACTTGTGTCATTTTGCTCTCTAACTTTTCAATTGTGATACATTTGACCATGAATTTTGAATCTTGTTGCAAATAAGGACAATTGAAGATACCATTGCTTAATTTCAAGGGCAAAATCATCAATTTGATAAAATAAAAATTAATTTGATAAAATAAAAATTAATTTGATGAAAATAAATTTCAAAAAAATATTTGTGAATTTTAAAAAATTATTTTTACCCACTAAAGATAAAATTATGTAAAATTAATGAATCTCTTACATAATTATTTATTTATTTTACCAAATTAATTTTTATTATGCGTTTGGATGATGATCATGTAATGGGTGGTTATTTTGATTTTCATTAAATTAGTTTATATTTTTGCAAAATTCAAATATGATGACAACTTTGAAATCATTATTACACCAATTCATTAAATTAAAAAATCTTAAACTGAAAATATTCCATATATTAAATATGCCGATTATACATTAAAATTGTAACAACCATCCATTACATGATCATCATCCAAACACATAATAAAAATTAATTTGGTAAAATAAATAAATAAATAAATGTCTGAAAGATTTATTAATGTTACATAATTTTATCTTGGTTGGTAGAAATAATTTTTAAAAATTTAAAAATATTTTTTTGACATTTATTTTTGTCAAATTAGTTTATATTTTATCAAATTGACAATTTTGTCATCAAAATTAAGTAATGGTCTCTTCAATTGTCCTTATTCGGAATAAGATTCAAAATTCAGGATCAAATGTGTCACAATTGAAAAGTCAGATACCAAAGTAACACGAGTCCCAAACTATAGGGATTAGTAGTGTAATTCGCCCAAGATATAAAAAAGAGAAGTTTATAGTATTTAGTTTGGTTTGTTTTCTCAAACTTTTGTTTTGAATTTTTTGATTTTCATTTTTTTTTGGTCTTTGACACTATTTTTTTTAATAACCCTTTTATTTTCTTTTTATATTCACTTAATTTAATACTTTTTATTTTTTAGTTTTACTTTTAGATTTAGATTCACTTAATCTAATTACACTTAGAAAATAATTTGTGCATTCTCTTTGGAAATTTCTTTTATTAATATTAAATAAAAATAATAACAAAATATATATATAATAATAAAAAAAATCAGTATATGTTTGAATTTATAAATATTTTCACCAATATTTTAATTTTTAATTCTATTTAGATTATTAGATATTATATATTAGATTCTCACGTAAAAGTATAATTTAAATATAAAATATGAAGAAATTTCTGTATCTTTAATCACAAAAATTGAGAAAATATGAAAAACCAGAAATTGAAAATTAGATTTAAAAAATAAAACCAACGAAATTGGTTCTTGTTTAGAATTTTGATATCATACCTTAGTTATTAAAGTATTATGTAAAATATCACAATTCATAAAATAAAATTTAAACAAAAAGAAAGTGTATGAACATAACCTATGAAATTTTGAGATGCAGCACAAATATCTATTTCAAAAAAGCATGTGCTTTCCTCTGTCTAAATTCGAATGAATGCATATAATTTTAAGATTCAACCAAAATTATTCATGGTGATTTAATCTATGATGGACAATTGTAAATAAATATTATGTATATCAGTATAGAAGTAGATAAAGGAAACAAGAAACAGTAATTATTTTTTGTTCTTCAATCATCATCAATGTAAAAAAATAGGGAGATAGTTTTTTTTTTAAATAAAAAAATAGACAGGTTGTTTATATTTATATAGGACTCTTGGAAACAAATATATCGTTTTTAAATATTCAACTCCAAAAATTAAAAAAAAAAAATGATTGGTTTATATAGGACTTTTCATGACTTTTAGAAATATAGTAGGTTTGAGAGGGTAAAATTATGATTTAAAAAAAAAAAAGAGTAGAAAACACGATAGACTCTTCACACTTTTATAATAGTAAAAATAATAATAGATAGTCGATTGGTGCGAAATCACATCATTTTTTTCTTTTATTCATCCAAACACAATGGTGAGAAATCATAGTTATTTTATTTTAGTTTTCACATTGAGTTTGTTTGGCATCTTCTAAATAAGTACACTTATTTAGATAAGTATACAATTTGAGTCAAATCATTTTTTTTATTTTTTTATGCATCTTTTTATAAAAAATTAAAAATATACATCTCAAACAATTCCTGAATTAAAAAAGTACAATATATTTTTTTTTATTTTCTCACCTTATGATTCAAACCAAGTGTTATAGTGGCAATCCACTGATTTAGATTGGTGGGTTTTTTTTTTCTAGCAGTTCGGTTATAATAGCCGAGTTTCCAATCACAGCTAGGGACAATCTTATCTCGTGTTACAGCTTTTTAATTACACTCAAACTTGTTAAAACTTATAATATAATATTGTGTTTTTTTTAATTGTAATTTACATAATTGTTGGTACTAAAATTTAGAAATCTTCTGTTGACGGAATGCTGACAAGGCATAAGGATGACGTCGCAAGGATGACATAGCAAGATTGATTAACATGGATGACATGGCAAGATTGGCTAATATGGCTGACATGGCATAAAGATGGGTTGAAGATAGAAGGATAAGGAAGATGATGGCAAAAAATCAAGGGAGAAATCAAAAACCCCAAGAAACAATTTCCAGAATGTGGGAATAGACATGAAGAAAAGCAAAGAACAAGAGAAGAACAGAACTAAGAGCCAGGCCAGAAGTCGGGTATAAAAGAGAACTGGATGCAGAGAATCAATCATCAACAACCATTTACAATTTGTGAAGAATTATTTAGGAGTAGTTTAAGTCAGTCATTTTTAGGAGTAGATTAAGTGATGGTTTTTCCAACCCTCCATTTCTCTTCTTTCTGTCGATTGTTGTATTTATTTAATTCTTTGTTCTTGTTTAAGTTCTTATAACTAGTGACAAGTGATAATTTATTTGAATCAATACATATTCTGTTATGTTCCATTTATTCTTTATTTAATTACTTGCAGGGAAGTCCTTAATTTGTTTTAAGGCATAGAACCCAACCATAAAATCTGATATTTTCGTGTTTATTTAAAATTTGTTTAAATCTGTCGATTAATCACTATCGATTGGGCTTA